ATAATTTTGTAAATATTGCGATAATTAGTGTTAAATTTTCATTAAGATTTTTTAATTCGGCCATTAAAACTCATTTTCAAATAAGTTGAACTAAATTATCGTGTTTTAACCGAGTGTTTTATTTAAATAAAAATCATGTTTATAAATACTTGAAAACTTTATTATTCGATTTTTGAATGATGTAAATACTTATTAAACTAGAAATGATAATTTAATCTATACGTCTAATATTATAAGATGTAAGATTATTTAGGTTTGTTTGAACCATCACCAGTCTTACTTATATTTCTAAGCTATGCTAGCGAGGTCCGTGGGATCTTATACAATACACGGTGACATGTTTTTCTTTTAAGTGCAAAATGATATATGTATTTGCTATGCAATTACCATTTACCAAGAACAATACTTATAAGTTCAAGGTGCGATGTATTTAAATAGCTTGTCTAATAATGTAACTTGATATTATAAAAGTAGTAGAACGTTGACTATGTATTTTATTTTACAGACTATAAAATGAATAGCACACTTGTGTCAATAGAAACTCCTTAATGTTACCTATCATATTATTGTATAACTAGCTGTGCCTGCGACTTCGTCAGAGTGGAATAGTAATTTTGAGAAAATTTGTTTCTTTGCTCCGAATGGTTACGATGGATGTTTCCTCCATAAATGTTCTATCTAATACAAAAGTATTTTAAATAGTCTACTGTCTGTAGTTTATGCGAGTAGTACACATGTACATAAAACACTTTAACGGTTTAAAACGCGATACATAAAACTAAATGACAGTGACCCTGTGACCACGGCTGTAAAACAACCGAAACATCGGGCCGTAGTCAAAATAACTTTCAAATAAGTTTAACTGTATATATATCGCGTTTTAAACCGTTAAAGTGTTTTATTTGACCAAAAGTATTTTTTCAATTCGATTGGATTATACCAACAAACTCCTCAGCTTTATAATATTAGTATAGATGTGTTTGACCAAAAAAATCTTCATAAAAGTTATAAATATCTAAAGAAATGCCTGGTCCGATGCATTCCCCTAATACCAGTTGATTGCATAAATTAGTTAGTTTAATAAAAAGGAAAACCGCGTTAGGCAGATCTAAAATTATGAAATAAAACTAGGTACCAAATGTGACGTCATAGTGCAACTGGTATGGAAACGGGTTTGTAACACTGCCAATTAAAGGAAGTTTTCATTAAATCATAACAAATTCTAGACTTAAAACATTGTTTACTAGTGATCACGATGTTATTGACTTTTATATAATCTGGGTACACCATTATCTAAAAGTAATTAATATAAAGTATTTAAATAAAACACTTTAACGGTTTAAAATGCGTTAAACTTATTTGACCTTATTCTCCCCGTGACCACGGCTGCTGCATAGCATCCGGAACGTCGGGCCGTAGTTAAAGTAATTTTCAGGTAAGTTTAACTAATATAAAACCGCGTTCTAAACCGTTAACGTGTTTTATTTAAATGTGTTCCCCCCCTGTTAGCCCCCCACAAAATTTTTTTTAAAATTTTTTGGGGCCTCCCCCCCCCCCCCCCCCCCCCCCCCCCCCCCCCGGGGGGGGGGGGGGGGGGGGGGGGGGGGGGTTGGTCCCTCCCCCCCCCCCCCCGGGGGGCCCCCCCCCCGGGGGGTTTTTTCCCCCCCCCCCCTTTTTTTTTTTTTTTTTTTTTTCCCCCCCCCCCCCCCCCCTATAATTTTTTTTTTTTTTTTTTTTTTTTTTTTTTCCCCCCCGGGGGGGTTATAAAATCTTTTTTTTTTGGGGGGGGGGGGGTTTTTTTTTTTTTTTAAAAAAAAAAATTTTTTTTTCCCCCCCCCCCCCCCCCCCCCCCCCCCCCACCCCCGGGGGGGTGGGGGGGCCCCCCCCCCCCCCCCTTTTCCCTTTTTGGGGGGGGGGGGAAAAAAAAAAAAAAAAAAAAAAAATTTGGTTTTGTTTTTTTTTTTTTTTTTTTTTTTTTTTTTTTTTTAAAAATAATGCAATTCTTAGTAAAAAAATAACGCAAACGCATCTAAATGATAAGCGACCGGAAAGCAATTCATTATACTGTTATCAATTATTCAAATTAAGTTGCAGCTATGTAAATTTAATTATACAAAAAATCTTAACATAAAAACGATTCAATTAGTTGCTATAGTTTTTTACTGTAAGTTTATTTGAAAATACAACCTTCTCGTAATCATTTAGGTAATTAATATTAAGTGGTTGATCACACTGTCCCCGATCGAAACGATTTATTGTTTCTTGGGGTTTCGAATTTAGGAACTCTAGTGCTCAACGCAATGGCACCACCATTTAACCATAGAGCTATAGATATAATATGACGATCAATCTATACTTTAAGCGAAGTTACAATTGAAATAAAAAATAGTGCCGTATATTTTTTTTTCAATTAAAAGTCGATTTTTATTTTATACTAGCTGTGCCAGCGACTTCGTCCGCCAGAATCGTTATTTCGGGCATCCAAATTAGTTTCTGCAAACCCCGTCATCTTTATAAACTTAGGATGTTAGCCGCGACGTCGATCGCGTCCCTTCCCGTCGTTCTTGCAAGCTAATCTTAAAAGATATACATATACCGTCGTGGACCTTTTTTTAGATCATTTGAAGAGGAATCATTCTTTCATACACATTTTTCAAGTATCTTGAACTGTTTTCCCAGCGTACGCATCTGACGCCCACAGAGATGAAAAATTTTCCCCGTTTTGTTCACATTTCCCGATGTGTCTTCGACTATCTTCTATAAGTCACAGCGCGATGTTTTAGCCTTCCTCGATAAATGCTCTAACCAACACAAAAATATTTTTTCAATTCGAACCCGTAGTTCCTGAGATTAACGCGTTCAAACAAACAAACAAACTCTTCAGCTTTATATCTTAGTATAGATAGATAACATGAAATGTATAAGTTTTCAAAGTGACAATTATTTTCACACATAAACACTTGTCTTGAAATCTATTTTCAAATTGTAAAAGCAGTGTCACCGTCTTCCAAAGCTGGCTGAGAAACAGTGACCTCTCGAAACAAAGGAACCTGTTCACCACCTCACCACGGAGCGAACAGGTAAGTGGGTAATGTTTAATTTGAAAGCGAGATCGAAATTACGAGGTACCGCAAAGTAGCATCAAACTATGTAACGGTGCTGAGTAAGTACAACTACTGTTGCCTGGGAGGCTATTCTCATGTTACGACTTAATTCGCAATTTAAGCGTTAAGGTCGGTGTGTAATTTATATCACCTATTGAAGAATTACCTTTGGGCAGTAGTAGCAAAATAAATTGAAAACCAATAAACAAAGTTGTATCTATTCATCCGCCGGTGTTTCTTTGCCATTTTGTTAAGTTAGTATTATTTTTTTAATAAATATGATAATTGTGACATAATAGAATAATCTATAATTTATGGGAGGATAATATTTTTATTTATTATTATTTCAAGGATTTCATATAGTCTGTAGTGTAGCTTTATGTTTTTTTTTAACTACGAATATAAGTTAACTATTTCTCGTTTGAAAATGATATCTAGATCTTTGCACTTTTTATAAATCCTATCTATTTATAAGGTATTTTTAAGGTAACAATGATTTTTTTAAAGAATTACTTTATTTAATAACCTAAGGCAATTTACTACTTTTTAAAGTACTTTTTTGAAAATATATTAACAAAAGTGAGTTTTAATTATGTTTATGATAGATTTCCCGCCTACTTAGTAAGTATGGAACTTATTTCTCGAGTATCTCTATTTGACTGATATTTAATTATTTTAGTTTATATGTATAGAAGGGAAAATCTAGGTTTACTAACCTGTCAGAGATGGAATGCAATCTTGCAAAATTACCTCTACAGCGGCTGATTTAAATTCGCGGTAATATCAGCTCCAAATACGGTCAAAGAGGAATAAATTACTTACTGTAGCGTAATTCCACTCGTATTTTCACGATAAAACTCCACACTGCACGTACGATTCGCGAAGAACACAAACCGCGACTGAACACAAATGCCACGGGCCTGACAGCCGTTTGCAACTTACGCTAAAAAAACTTTCTAACTTCGCATCGCAAATCCATCACCGTTCACTTGTGTGTACAATGGTCAGTTGGGTACAATATTTAAGTGGCGAGGTTCCAAAGAAGCGTCGTATAACGCGAATAGACAGTATCAAAAAAAACTTAACGACAACTTGAATGATGCACGTAGGTCTACGTTATTTTGGAAAATAGTTTTACGTCAGTTTAATTTTTCAAAACTCTAATAATCAACTGGTCGTGGTTATACTGTCTATAGTTTACGCGAGTAGTACACATTTAAATAAAACACTTTAACGGTTTAAAACGCAATATATTAATTTAAACTTATTTGAAAATGATTTTTTAACTTCGGCCCGACGTTTCGTGGTCACCACGTAAGTTTAACTAATACATCGCGTTTTAAACCGTTAAAGTGTTTTATTTAAACAATATAGTGTTTTCTCTCTATACATATAAGGAAGTGAGGCTGAAATACACATATTAAAGTTTAATTTGGGTTCATTTGTTCATTCTCTTATGGTTTAGGTTTGAATATTCATGCGTATTTTTGGGATAAGTCATACAGTGCATATCAATGCGCCCGTTGTGCATTGTAAATATACAATTGGAAATTAAAGTGATATCCCGTTTCCCCTATTGAATGTTGCGAACACATTTGTGTGTCCGTTTCATTGATCTGTTTTATTTACAGGCAAGTAGTTGATCAGACTTCTGTGCCCTGCCCGACCGAAGCAATCTATCGTTTCCCTGGGATTTGAACCTAGAACCTCTCACGCTTACCGCAAACGGCAACACATTTAACCATTTAGCTACAGAGGTGGTCAACGACGCAACGAGCGATTTGACGAAATTCTTACTATAACACAATCAAATCGATGTTGAAATTTTATTACACTTTTATAGATTCAATTTAAGATGTTGAATAAAATAAAAAAAATGACTTTCAGTGTGTGATAATGAAAGATTGTGGTAAAGTATGGTTATTGTTGTTTTGTTACTTTGGAAATGTAATAAGTTTAATGCCAGGACTTACAGTGCATAAAGGTATGATATTAAATATTTTAATTAACACTTTAACGGTTTAAAACTTGATACATATTAATGTAACGAGTTTTAAACCGCTAATATATAGCGCTTTTTAGAGCTCTCTTTTACTACAGACAGTAAATACATAAATAATTACAATTCCGAAACTAAGGAATAATGACTAAATAAAAAAAGACCCAATTATCACATTTAAAACACCAACGACCACGATAGCTAAATAATGCTAAATGGTAAATAGGACCTAATGTAACAGACATGATAAAATATATGTTATTACAGTAAATACAAAAGTTATAGAGAAAAAGCGCCAAGATACATTAGAGATATGCCGATTATTCGAGGAACAAAATATGTTGGAAAATAAAGGACGTGCACGTCAAAAAAGAGAAGTGGAAGATAAAGGAAACGGTCTTAATAATGAAGACTTGAGAAGGGTTGAAAAAATTGTCGACAAACTTTACGATGATGTAAATGAAGATGGTCGATGGGTAACTTATCGGAAGAGGAGTTTTAACGACAGCAGCACAACGGTCAAGGTTAACAATTATTATTATTACTGTACCTGTTCATGCTAAATGTCCAAGTTTACGTAATTTTTCTATCGGCTCCGGAGTCCAAAATATTTGCGCGGTCTACGAAAAATCATTTTCCTTTGATTTATACTAATATTATAAAGCTGAAGAGTTTGTTTGTTTATAAGAAATCTACTCCAGTTCAGGTCCAAAAAAAATATTTTGTGCTGGATAGAAAATTTATTGCAAAGAAACAGAGGGATGGAAATACGGGGGAAAATTATTCATCTTTGAGGGCCTCTGTTGCATGCGCTACGAAAACAGTTCAAGAAACCAAAAAATATGTATAAAAGAGTGATTCTTTTTTAAATTATCTAAAAAAAATGTTCGCGATACTCTATGCCTGTCTTTTAACATTAACTCGCAAAAATTACAGGACGCGGAGGATGTTGTGGGTAACAGCCATATTTTAAAAAAAGAGAGGAGGTAAAAATAAATAATTTTATGATGCCTAAAATGATTATTCCACGCGGATAAAGTTGCGGGCACAGCTAGTATTATATTTATAGAAATATTGCTTCTACCGTATTGAAAATAAGCTTAAACTACTAGGAACAATGGGAGCATTATTAAAAGGTATTTATTATAAATACAATTTTATTTAGTAAAGATTATATATTTAAATTTTTAACGACGATTTTGACGCTAGATTATTTTTACCCTTAATACAGCAAATAATTGTTCAGGACAGTTTAATAGATAATAACTCTTAAATTTCTTTTTTATTATTTTATTTAAAAAATATTAATTATCAAGTTTAACAAATATTTACTCATGGCATTTAAGTACGATTTGTAACGTTAATAAAAATTGTAATTTAAAAAAAGCAAAAGGCTTTACTAAAACTAAACATTTCCAAATTTTAATTCACATAAACGATACCATTATTTCGAGAACTATTTACTATGATAATTATTTTCGTGCGTATCCGATTTCTGTAATAAATTAAACGACGTAATTTACAAAAATTACTAAATATATCAGGAAAACAATACATAAAGTGGAAGAACAATGGAATTTACGCAATATATGAGGTCAATACTATGGACCTTAATATGTTTTTACACCAGAAATGGGAGTACATAAAATGTAAATTGTGTAAGGCTTTCATGGCCATCGTTCAGCATATCATTGTCTTTCGGGCTGGTCGCTCACATCGGCCGAACAGCTAAATGCTAAATAAAATGTATTTTTGGTAATGATTTTACTCAAGCTGTTACGTAGAAGTGTTACTTATAAATATTTCAATAATAGTAAGAATTTGCGCCTTTAAAATTGTTTGTTGCAAAAGGCATTTCACGAGAATGTTGTTACCTTTATAACAGTTGGCAGTTAAAATGCAATTAAATCTAATCTATACTAATATATAAAGTTGAAAAATTTTTGAACGCGCTGATCTCAGGAAATACTGGATCGAATTGAAAAATGTATTTTTGTGTTGGTTAGAGCATTTATTGAGGGCGGCGTTAGGCTATAAAAGATCACGCTGCAACCAAAAGGTACGGACCAAGCAACAATGGGAAAGTTGAAAAAAATTGGGAAAAATTATTAAGTCTTTGGGAGTTTTCGTTGTGTTATATAAAAGCATATGCCACAGAAACATAAATATAATGTATATATACTTTAATTTGTTAACGTTAATTGTATAATCTTTCGTCATAAAGCTTAATAATGACGACAGTAGAATTATATATCATTTAGTTAGATTTTTGCATTTCATATACCTACATATTATTTCTAAGCAAGACCCACGTATAACATATCTACAATGCCCTATAGGTGAAATTAGATAACAGGCGTTTTAATTTCGCACCAGCCAGTCTACTGGGACCAGAGACGAAAGAAAATGAAGCAAAGACATTGATTGATACAAATACTAACAAAATGCCATGGATCAAAAAGTGGTATCATGGAATTGTACCTTATTTTATTGACGCTAATACATACGGTTTGTATGTTTTTTTTAATGGAGTAAGATAGACAGGGAGGTAAAATACTCTAGCTCTATAATCTTGAAACGATACTTTGAGGACCTATTTTGATATTGAACAGTCTCAACTCCACAACAGCGTTATGGTGGAGTTTACACAACGTTTCCACAACTCCCTTGGGGGTGGCTCGTGATCCGAATGAGAATTAGTCATTTCCAGCATCCATTTAATGTCCGCAATAAAACGGGTGCTGGATAAATTATATAAATTCCGGGATATTTTTAGAAAAGATAGAAAGCGTTTTATAAAAGTGTAGAACCCGGCGGGGCCGGAACCCATAGCCCGTTGCTTAATATTTGTGCTGCACTTCTACTGCTACACGTCCTTCCTGTGTCAAATTGTTGTTAATCCGTTTTTCATGTTATTGATGTTAAAAACAATTGACTGCGACACGGCAGCTCAATTGGTTGGCGCAGCAGCACGGATCGCATTGAATACCGATTCAAGTCCTGCCATAGATTTTTACTTACGTATAATGGCATCATGTGCAATAACACGTGAAAAATAGGAAAGTTTTCAAACAAAATATTAATAAGCTTTTTTACTATTATTACAGATGTTCAGCTAGCTGAACTTATAACGAAAGCGTTTGACTATTTCGAGAAGGTCACCTGTATTCGTCTCCAGCGTCTCAGGAGCCGGCCAATAGACAAACAGTCGTTGCAGAGCGTAGAGTGGCTGTACATAACCAATCCTTCTGGGATCCGCCAATGCGTCCACAGCAACGAGAGAAAACCTAATAACGGAGTTCAGGTTATATAGAATAGACTTTGTATTCAAGCGTTATATATGTATAATAAGCGGAAGAGTTCGTTTGTTTGAACGCCCTAATTTCAGGAGATACCGGTTTGAATTGAAAAATTATTTTTGTGTTGGTTAGAGCATTGATCGATTGCGATGTGCCTAATAGGAGCGAAGAAACAGCGGGAAATAGAGAAAACACGGGGAAAATTATCTTTGTGGGTTTCTGATCCGTATGCTGCGAAAATGATTCAAGATACCCAGAAAATATGTATAAGAGATTGATTCCTCGTTAGAGGATCTAAAAAATGTCCGCGATTCTATGCGTCTAACTTTTAAGATTAACTTCGTCAAACGTCGCTGACACGGCTAGTTTGTAATCAAATTTCTTCAATTTCCTCGGTGAAAAGTATACAATATTTTACCTCAATACGTAAAATGTAAGACTGAAATTACATTGCGCGATATATGTGTACAGAGATTTATAAAAATGTTTAAAATATCACGTCGCTTAAAATAACTCCTTCTCGAACAACACGCATGTTGTGGTTATAGGCGTCAGTACTCGTAACTCTGAAATAAATAGAAATAATAATTTAAATTTAAAGGTTAATATATCTTATATTAAATTAAAGATCACACGTCCGTTTATATTTAAAAAAAAAGGTTCAACACTAAACACTAGGAGATAGTAATTTTTTTATTATTATTTGTAGATGGTAGTAATTGGTTACGACTGCATGTCCCTTGGGGAAATCGTACACGAATTGATGCATATATTGGGTTTCTCACACGAACACAACCGACCAGATAGAGACAGACATATCACTATACTTTGGGACAATATAAAAGCATATCTATGTATATGATTTTTTTAAAAGCATTATGCATTGAAATGAATTTGAATTAACTTTTCTAGAATTAACGCGATCGTCAACCGGTCTCCTAAACTCTAAACCACGTATTTGTAGTGTAGTATCGTATTTGTCAGATAACACTACAAATAAATAACGTTATGCAAGTAATGTAATGTCTGCGTCTTATAAAAATTCACTTGAAATAAATTACAATGTATACCATATTATTAAACTCGTAAGCATCTAATTTTAAATCATAATAATTAATATTTCAGGGTACAAGAAGTATTTCTCACTTCGACAAGAAGACCCTCTATTGTCTCTACCATACGATTATGTTAGTGTGTTGCATTATCCACCGAGGGCGTTTTCCAAAAACGGTCAATTTACCATCACGGCAGAGGTAATAAAAATAATCCATCTTTTAAATACCTTTAACTGTTTAAAGGCGATATATTAGTTAAACTTCTTTAGAAATATTTTTAACTTCGGCCCGAGTTCTAGGATTCTAATTTGCAGCAGCCGTGGTCACGGGGAGACTGGACTGCCGCCGGGAAATTTAATCGAATAAAGTTAACAAAGGTTTTATTAAATGTGTACTACTCGCGTAATTTATACAGATAAAACACTTTTTTTAAGGTTTTAAAAAAATAGATTAAGTCTTTAATAAATATGAAATCGATCTATAAAAATATTTTATATTATTTTTTTTTATTTTAATTATGGCCCGACGTTTCGGATGCTTTGCAGCAGTGGAACTCCGCACTCGTGGAATTGGCAATCATATCTCTATAGTTTTTTAAAATAAATAAATCGACCTTTGCCTCATACATTACGTTCTTAATTTTCAGAAGGGCATAAAAATCGGTCAAAGAGAAGGTTTGAGCGAAATAGATCTCCAGAAGGTCGCCATGGTATACAACGGTGAATGCTCTGAAAGGAACAAGGAATACTTGCTAGAGACCTGCCCCAGTGTGATCAACACGAAGTACGACCAGGAAACGGCTACTCCAGAAGAAATTGACGATTACTTCAGAGAAAGGATATGGCCGTTTAGCATTATTAATTACAAATTTAGGGACGATATGGAGTTCAGTAAGAATACAACTTTTATAATATATACTAAAAACTAAAGATCTTTTTTGTTTGAACGCGCTAATTTCAGGAACTACTGGTCCGAATTGAATCCTTTTGTGTTGGTTAGACCTTTTATCTAGGAAGGCTATAGGCTATAACAGATTGCGCTATGAGTAATAAGTGCGAAGAAACAGCGGGAAATAAGGAAAAAAGCGGTGAAAACTATTTAACTTTGTGAGTTTCCGATGCATGAGAAGGGTCCAAAATACACTAAAATATGTATCCACTATTTTTTTTTTTTTTTTTCATGAACAGATTCCTCTTTAAATAATTTAGAAAAAAGTCCGCGTCACTATTATCTTTTAAGGTTAACTTGCAAGAACAACGTCGTGCATAACAGCTAACATTTTTAGAGGTTTGCAAAAACAAATTTGGATGCCCAAGATATAGGCGGACGAAGTCGCTGACACAGCTAGTTTTTGTAACAACAAGCTAAATGCCGACATTTCATCCCTATGCGAAATCCTTTTCCATCCAAAAAAAACATAAGCTTAAGTTTAAAAAAACACGTCTCTGAAAAAACAAAAATAACTTTTTGTTGTTTTATATATTTTTTAAAAGAAATATGGCCAGTAATTGAATACTAATTAGGTACTGATTTTCTAAACTAAAACTAAAGATAAATGACTGAGTGTTATGTTATTTAATAACTACATAATCAGTGTTGTAATGACATTATAACTTCTTAACTACTTTTTATAATAGCCACAGAAGAAAAAGATAACATTCAAGCAGTAATGCGACATATTGAAAAAGAGACTTGCATAGAATTCAGAGATCTAAATGCATATAAAGGCTCTTCTGAAAAAGAGGAGAAATCAAAGGAAAGACTCGAAGATGCGCGATCATCAGAGAAACTAACACAAGATACTACGATCAGTTTAGATATAAGTAATAATACCCTTAAGGGTAATTTACCAACTCGTGCTAATGTGCGAATGACATATAGAATCCGGAATACAACCAAAGTGCCTTTTAGAGAAATGGATAACGAAATTTTAGATGACGATACTGATTTAGACAAAGTTAAGATTTCAAGTAAGTTTATTTATTTACTTAACTATAGTTAAGCTTATCTGTGGAAAGCTGCGGTTTTACCACCACAGGTAACATTGAGTAAAGTTAGATTCGACTGACACGCCCAATGGTTTTATGGAATCCAAGACTTATGAAGGGTCTTTTTTATTAATTTTAGGTTTCAGATTGAATTTGAATATGTTCCTTTTTTTAAATAGATGTAAATTTAAAAAAGCTGTTTAAGGTTTGGTGCCAGTCATATTGTATTAAATTACAAATAGATTAATTCCTTTTTTTATTGTACATAATATATACTTCAATAAACGTGAAATTATTAAAAAACGTTTAACAAGCTAGTAATCATTTTTTTAGAACCAAAGCCAAAGAGAATAAAGCGAAACACTGCAATATCACCCTCAAGACGGCACGCGGCAAATATTCTGACTTTAGTAAGAACAGCAGAACCAGGTTGCGAATGTCATTCCCCAGGTAGACCAAATGGCCATAAGGTGAGTTAATATTATGATTGGTTGACACGTTCTCTTAATTTTGGATAGAGTTAATGATAATTAGCTCTCCATAATATAAAGAATACCGTTCTTTTAGCCCGCCTCTGTAGCCAAATGCTTAAACGTATTGTTTAGCATTGCGTTACGTATGAGAGTTTCTGGGTTCGAATCCCAGGGAAACAAAAAAAATGTTTCGGTCGGGCAGGGCACAGAAATCTGATCAATTACTTGCCTGTTAAAGAACGGATCAGTGAAACGGACACAACGTGTTCGCCTCATGTCCCACGAGGGGGAAATGGGATTTCACACACGTTCTTTTAGCCGTACTATTTTTTGTGTATTTGTATAATTTTCAGGTTCTAGCAATAAACGGTGACTGTTTTAATTCAGTGAACGACCTTTTGCACTTTTTTGTTCATTTATTGGGATTAGACCACCAACATAACATGCACGATCGCGACTCGTTTCTGAAGATTCTGTGGGATAATCTTACACCGCGTACGAACTTTTTTTATTTTCTTATCCCTATAGCCTTAGATAATAGTGATGCGGTTAGTATTGCGTTAAGAATCGTACTAGGTTCAAATTGTAGGGCAACAACTAATTCAATAATTTTCCAACGGCATTCTTATAAAGGAAATATATAATTATATCTTACACTAGCTGTGCCAACAACTTCGTCCACGTTAATTGTTATTTTGGACATCCAAAATAGTTTTTGTAAACCCCGTCATCTTTATAAACTTAAGCAATTAGCCACGACGTCGATCGCGTCCTTACCCGTCATTCTTGCAAGTTAACCATAAAAGATAGACATATAGCGTTGCGGACTTTTTTTAGATAATTTAAAGAGGAATCATTCTTTTATACACATTTTTTATGTATCTTAAACCGTTTCGCAGCGTACGAACTTGATTTCCCCAGAGTTTAGTTCACATTTCCCCCTGTATCTTCGCTACTATTAGTCACGCGGTGTTTTATAGCCTTCCTCGATAAATGATCTAACCAACACAATTTGAACCCGTAGTTCCTGAGATTAGCGCGTTCAAACAAACAAAAAAACTCTTCAGCTTTATATATTAGTATAGATACTTACTCAACTCCTGTAGCTAAATGGTACTGACAATAGTTTCACTTATCGCGATGGCTCGCAAGTTTGAACCCGGAAAGCAATAATAGTGTCAATTGAACAGGACAAATACTCATAATATCTGAACAACACCTAGATTCATACAGTACTACCTATGTCAGCGACTTCACGTTGGCGTGGAATATTGTATAACTTGAAAATCTTACACATAAATGTTTTTCCCACATTGTTCCACATTTTCACTGTTTCTTTGTTCGGTTTTATCGCCTGAAGCGATCCTCGATAAATGATCACAATTTTTTTAATTCGAACCTCAAGTCCAAGAGGTTAGCGCGTTTAAGCAAACAAACTCTTCAGCTATATAATATTAGTATAGAAATCACATTTCAGAAATAAAATCGGAAATGTCACGGAAACTCCCACCCGCGGCGTCCGCTGGCTTTTCTTATGACTACCAGAGCGTGATGCACTATCCCTGGTTGCAAATCAAGGACGGCGTCACAAATATTATGTATCCCATATGGGTATGACTTTTCATATATTGTATAAGGTATAGATAATTACATTATTTATTGAACATATTCTAATTTGGAGTTATATGTCCTGTGCCATCTGTCATTTACCAAGCACGAGATGTTAGATGATGATTTTTGGGCATTTCATAATAATCTTTTACTAAGACGTCTAACTTAAAGCTGGGTATGTACGTGGACGTTTCACATCTGTCGTTCGTCTCTACGAACGACAGATGTGAAACGATAACGAAAAGATAATACACGTACTGCCTCCCTCTACAGTACGTGTATTATATTCATTTAGATGAGTATTATATAAATAAAAATGGATATTTATTAATTAAGCCACTCGCTAAATACATGTAATTTTAAGTCGTTATGTTAATCTCAGTTTAAGTGAAACCAGTCTTATGAGAATAGGTTTTAAACATCATTCATCATCAGAACATCAGAAGTGTAATTAAAGGTCGCTGTAACAATCAAATGTTCTTCTTAGAACGATGGATGGGCGATGGGTCACTGGCAGGGCCTCAGTTACACCGATGTGCAAAAGTTGAATCTGATCTACAAGGACCAGTGTTCTCTACGGAGTGAAAGTGTCAATTCTAATAAAGGATAATGTTAAAACATAATTGTGATTTTGTTTATGAATGTGAATTTATAAGGGTATATTCTCTGAAGACTGAGCAAGTTGCCATTTATTAAACATTAAATAATAAATGATAACGGGCAAGGATTTATTTATTGGCCCAGTTTTAAAAGTAATAGACACGTTCTTTTAATTTTTTCAAAATATATATTTTTTAACAATATTTGCACTAATAGATTGTGGATGGCTTTCACGGCCATCGTTCAGCATATCATGTTTTTTTGTGCTGTTCTGCCGACGTGAACGAGTAGAGGTTCTCGATGTTTCGCCATCACGAGCGACGATATCATCAGATGTTGTTAGCTTCTCGCTCACGTCGGCCGAACAGTCCGAAAAACTATGATGTGGTGAATATTTGCACTATTGACTTGCGTTGATGGTAAAGAATTATATCTTTTTGACAGGTTTTAAATGTATGGACTCTATCTTCTTAGCGTTACCTCGGTAGAATTGTTTTTTATGATTCTTAGAACGTAAAATTTTTGTTTCGTCTTCATCGTCGTTACTGAGATTATTGTCTTCGCTTATATCTCTATTTTCGTCTTCACCATAACTAAAATTTTCATTTTTCTTTTGATTAATTATGTCTTCATAATTTTGGTCTATGTCACTTTGCACGTCATTGTTTTGTCCTTCAGTATTTCGATCGTCACTATCAACTTTATATTTTTTACTTTCATCGTCATCATTATCTGTGTCTTCATATCTATTGTTTTTAGCTTGTTCTTTTTTGTCACTAACTTCTATATTATCACTTTGACTTTCATGGGTTTTTTTATCATCAGGCATTTCCACAAACATGTCATCAAGCAAATCAATAGCGCTTTGATCACTCTCACTGCTGCTACCCTTAAACTTTATCGAATGATGCATAGACCCTTTAAGTTTTTCATGAAACGCGCTTTTACAGGAGTCCAATAGATTGCTTACTTTTCGTTTGTTACATTCGTGTTCAAACAATAATCGAAGTTTCATAACATCTAGTTGTGATAATTGTTTCGAAGGTGATATCATTAGTCCAGGTACCTGAAATTTTAAGCAATTTTTTAAGAGCATATTTTTTTAACACTTTTGCACCTATAGTTAGAGTCCAGTAAGCATTGTATATAAAGTATGTCTCAAATTTAGTTATAGAATTCAATTACTCATGTCATAGTTATACTCATTTCTATATGTATATATTTTACCATTTGTATTTAGCGTAATATTATACAGTCGGGTAAATCATTTTCAAAAAGACTAATATATCGCGTTTTAAACAATTATAAAAAAAATTTACAAATTATTTTAATGTTCTATAGGTAATAGGTATGTATGCAAGACTATTTTTTAAACTTTAAGAATACCATGCATTGATTGTTATATAATGAAATTGCAGGGAAGCATGTTACCAAGGGCACAATCGTTGCTTGTCCGTTGCTGCTGAATGCTCTATCATGAAAATGCATTATGCTTAATGGATCATATTCCGATAGAACTTTTGAAGCGTCCTGAACTTGCAGCCGATATAGTGAGCGATGTTCTGCAAAATGCCATAGAATAAACTACCGAATGATACAAGTATTAGTGAATAGCGTAACTGGGCTGCAATTCCGAAATAAGCGATACAAGATAAGCGACATAAGTCTAAAGCAATGTCCTGTCCTGTCGGGTCGCAATACAGGAAGTAAGCCTCTTAGTTAAATACTGTCTATAGTTTACGCGAGTAGTACAAAAATTAATTAAAACGCTTTAATGGTTTAAAACGCTATATGCTGCAAAGCTTTCGACACGTCGACCACGGCTGCTGCAAAGCTTTCGAAACGTCGGGCCGGCCGTTGGTAAAAATAATTTTCAAACAAGTTTAACTAAAATATATAGCGTTTTAAACCGTTGAAGTGTTTTATTTAAAAGCCTGTTAGTTATTTTTCTGATAAAGTAATATGCGCATACCTGGTCTGATATTATTCCAAAGCACTCTTATAAACCGATCTCGCTGCGGATGCGTGACTTCGTCTCTTAAACCGACAGCGTGGAGCAAGACATGCAGTATATCACTATCTTTAAGACAATCATATCCTAGTACTGCCACCTGCAAAGGTAGACAAAACCATGCGACAATAATAAACAAGTATTTTTATACTTTACAATCACTATTAAGCAAAAAAAAACGAACAAATCTTTTAAGCACACGTTTACCCATATGTGCTGTATTTTTTTCACATTCTTCATTAACATGACTGATAAAAGAAAGAAAAAATAAAGGGTGCGTTTCCTCTATAATCGCTCTATCTATTTAGAGGTTAATAGTACTACTACTACTATTTGATACTTTTCTTACACACAAACTAACAAATAAATTAAAAGAAATGAAAGGCGGCAACCTATTATCAAGCGATCTCTACCAGGCAACTTGAACTTACAATCTCTTTCTCATCTGTTGACTTCATTTGGTGGACGCAGTCTCGTTGTTTATGTGGATTAGTTATATGTAGCCACGTGGCATTCTCTGTTTTTTCGGATAGTGGTTTAAACTGTACACAACCAGCACTTTCAATCGTATCCATGACTGTACGAACACGCTGAGCAATTATATCATCTATGGGAAAAGGTAGATGTATATAAACACAAACTGTTTCCATGACAACGATTGTTTTGGTTTTCTTGTTTGTTTATTAAACGTCGTTATTGATTTCCCATTTTTGTTATATGATGACGTTAATGTTTCTGTTGTCTGACAAGTAGTGTTACAAATAAACTCCTGGAATTTTTTACATAGCAAATTAAAGTACATTATTTAGTCATCTACACTATAGACGATAAGTTTTAACTTGTAGCCTCTTTATTTACCTGTTCTGTATAGACATCACACCATATACCGAGTAAAGTATATTTAAGACATACCATAGCTGTCTCCATCAAAGTAGTAATTAATAACACCTAAAGGCCAAAGCGCAGCTCCCGCTTCTTGTATTCTATGCAAATCTGTCGTTTTCTGTATGTTCATCAATTTTACGCTATCTTGAAATTTAAATATTGTTAATAACTATATAACTAGAAGTAGACAAAATAACATTGTACGTAATTATAAATGCAAAAAGTGATATCCCGTTTGCTATATTTATGTCATAGAGCAGACACATAACTATGCCTGTTTTACGTCTGAAGCTTAAGATTACCGACTGAAAAATTGTTACTTGTTATACCGAGATTCAAACCTGATCCTGACGCTTAAAGCGACGCACAGAAACGGTTTTAAAATATACGTATTAGTTATTATATTAGTCTTAATTGGTTTTTGCGTCATAATACTATGTGCGTATACTTACTGTGTTTTGTAGTAGTTGGAGGTTTTGCATACAGCACTAAACCAAATAAACCAAAGAATATTACCAGATAGAAAATATTAATGACAATAACTAAAAATTATTATATATGCTTGACATGTTTTAATTAATAACAAGCTGAGCTTATATTGTGTAATCATTGTAACCAATCAGATTTAGTTCAATGTTGTAGTACAAAACTAATAAATTTTTGTTTTAGGCTATTTAAAAGAGAAGTAAATAAAAGTCACTACAATTAAATAGTTGCCATTTAGATTTTTAATTATAGTGAGATTTTTTCGTCTTTGCCTTTACTGGATTATTTAAATAAATAGATATATTTAAAGGTTCGGAGTTCATACTCACTATATTCACCTGTAGGGTGCATATGTATAGTTTTGCGAAATAAAAAATGCAATTGAAAACATAGTATAAAAATACTTTTCATATTTGGCCAAGTAATAAAAAATATTATAAACTAAGCTTTTATTGTAGTTTTAGTACGTATCAAATATTGGATATTGAGAAAGTGAATTTATTGCCTACTGTATCAAATGTAAATATTTTATAGGAAAACATATATATTATATTTTTCTAACGGTGTTACAATATTTAATTATTATAATAAAATATAATAATTTATTAATGTCTAATAAAGTTTTTATAAAATATCATGTAGATCTACATAATTTGAGTTTTTTACCAACAATGTGTGGTTTTTTACCAACCAACAAATCACACGTATTCCTAAATTTAATTTTTTACTTTTCGGCCAGTAATATAGCACTGACAGCTCTGTCAATTCCTTCAGTGACAGCTGACAGCCCAAAACTTAGTAGATAACAAAGCGCTGAATTTTTAAAATATTTATTTGCATTTCCAATAAAGTCTGATATCTTTATCAATAACACGCTTGAGAATTTTCTAGTAATTAAAGGACATTGTATACGTGAAAAATGGAGTTGAATTACACGTTTTCCATTTTAATTTCAATAATTCTTACAATTCCCGGCGCGTACAAAGTGTCCGCGTCTAGCGGCTCAATCGAATTAGACGAAATATCTTTTGACAAAATTATAAATACATTTTCTGCTTCTCTTGTGAAATTTGATGTGGCATTTCCTTATGGCGAAAAGCACGATGCTTTTATTGCAGTAGCTAAGGAAGCAAAGGACGTAAAGGACCTTGTTATTGCTGAAGTCGGCGTAAAAGACTATGGAGAGAAAGAAAATTCTGAATTAGCGCAAAAGTACGGCGCTACAAAAGAAAACTTTCCCATTGTAAAACTGTTTACTAAGGGGAAGAGTGAACCAATAACCTTCGACGATTCACAGGGTTTTACTACTGAACAATTACGCCGTTTTGTAAGGCAAAATACCGGTATTTACTTAAACCTTCCGGGATGTATAAGAGAGCTTGATATGCTTGCCATTGAGTTTATGAAGTCTGATAAGAAAGACAGAAAACATGTACTTAAAAAAACTGAAGACACTTTAAAAGCACTAACACAGGTAAGATGACTTTTTTTTTAAAATATAGAAAAGGTAGGTTACTTTATACTAAAACAAATGTTATGCATTAATTAATCTGACTAGATAATTTATGATTTAGCATATAACTCCTCTTCACTGTATTAGAAAAGAGTATTAAACTTGTAAAACTAAGGTTTTGTCCAAAGAATACAAGTACTCATTATATTATATATTTCCTCATTTTTGACTTGTTTTTCTTTCATTTAAGTAGCTAAAGTAGCCTCTTAATTAATTTTCAGAATGAAAACACTGGAAAAATCTACAAGATCATAATGGAGAAAATATCAGAGAAAGGTGATGACTTTGTAAAGACAGAAAATGAGAGGGTAAAGAAACTTATCAGTGGAAAGTTATCAGATGAAAAGAAGCGAGACATGGCACTAAGACTGAACATTTTGCAATCATTCCAACTTCATGAAATTAAATATAAAGATGAACTGTAGCTCAGTTTTTAGTTTTAATTGCATTCCAAGTTTATAATTATGACAGTTGAGAATTTAATGGCACAGTTCTATACTAAAGCAAATGTATAAGTGTTCTTTTCATCTGCAGATTACTTGAGACGTTATTTGCATTTTGGACCTTAATAACATCACAATTTTTGTTTTTTACATTGTTTCTTATTTAACTTAATATGAGTTTAGTTCTAATTTTGTTAACTTTTACAAGGCAAGTTTCCATGTACATGCTTTGCACAGTGTGTGAGTTTGGTCTGCACAATAAAACTCTTTTCAAATAGAATGTTGTCTTATTCATATTTTAATTATGTTTCAACCATCAATTGTTTTACGACCTCATAGAACAAAGATATAAAAAAAATATATTTTAATAAGTAAAAAATTTAATGTGACAATTTCACTTTATCAAATCCAAAGAATTGGCAAACTTATACAACTAGTTACATTTAACTTTCCTATTAAGGAGAATTATTTCATTACACTAATAATTCAATTAGTATAGAATAAAAAAAAATGTATAGTATAATGACTGTACTGTATCTTAAAATAATGGAAATTTCAAGTAGCCCAAGGATGAAGTCTGCTAGAATCAGTATTGGCACCACAGAGCCTACAAAATATTTAAATTGAATCTACTGTCCGAACATACATTATATTTAAATAAAAACCAAGCTCTGTGCAAAATGAAACAGACTACATCCTTTCTTAAAATCTACACACATATAAAACTATTCAGATTTTTCACTGTCCACTTTCAGGTCTTTTAACTTCAGAATAACGCCGTCATCTTTGTCAAGCATGTCCTTCTTTATATCTTCAGTTTTGTCAATGCTCTTAGGTTCAGGGGTATCAGTGTCTTCACTTCTAGTGATACTGCTCTCTTCATCAGAAGATAGGTCTAGGGTATAGAGACTGCATTTTGTTCTCACTATTTCCTGAGCTTCAGCAAACTTAGCTTTCCATAGCTGAGCATCTATTAAAATATACAAATTTAATTAACAGTTATAATATTTTACTTTATCTAGATAAAGTGGCTTTTATACTGTCTAAACTTTAAAAGGTTTCATTCCAGTTTGACAGATTTACTATGCAAATTTGATTAGTTATTAAGTGCTAACAGAAATAACTTTATTTCATCGCCCCATTATAAACTAATCAGATAGGCAATATTAGGCTTCTAATAGTGAAACTTACTTTGCGTATTGCCAAACTTTATAGCAAGTAGTTCTTGCTTCATGGTTTCATCTGCAAAGTCAGCAAACACTGACCAGTTAAATGCTCTGTCAGAACCACAGTGAACATTCATCCGTATGTCTGGTGTTATAAAGTGATTGGCGCAGACTTTCAATGTTTTGTCTCGTCGCATAACAACTCTGACAGTATTGTTAATTTTGTGTCTCAATAGCTTTATATCCCCTGTCCCCCGTTCCTAAAAACATATTATGATTTTAACAATTTCCTAGCATTTCTTAATAAGAAACAATAGAACATAGATCAGTTAGACCCCTTTGTTATACACACTAAACTAATTTTAATTATATTTCAGATGTTTTAATATGATTTTAATTGCAATAGTAATTAAATATAAATTAGAACTTCTAGAATTAAAATTATTTAAAAATTATCCAACTAACCTTCCATTCATGGTCAGCGGTATCATATCGATAAAGTCTGGAGCGAATCTTCACTAATTCCTCCTCCTCTTCTTCATTAGTTTGAATATCAACTAAGGGCAACGATACAATTGGCTCAAAGTGTGGGTCGTGTTCTGGTGTCTCCGCATCTCCACCTTCGCTCTCGCTATTGCATCTAACAGTTTCCTCCGTCTAGAATTAAAAAAAAACATGATTGTACCCGAAATCGAACTGAACTTGACAAATAAATCATATTCTCTTCGTACCGGTGAAGACATGCTGCGAAAAAAAAACTAAACTGCTCTTCTTAAACAGTAAACAAATCATATAATTAAACAATAGAGTAAATTTTAATTCAATATGGATAAATACAAATTAAAAAGAAACAAAGTTTCGTTCAATTCCGTTGTTTCCTTCACGTTTCGTTTGTTCACAGACTAGCCTTATTTGTTTAATTTCCAGCAATCATAGACCGATTGATGATTGTTATCTATAATTACAATACAGATAGTTTCATACAGTATTCATATGTCAGATTCTAATTCTAGACAGTTTGAGTATCTATACTACCTACTGTTATTAGAGTGTTTCAAAGTGGAATATTAAAAGATCAATATTTTGAATTGTATATTAAAAAACCCTATCCAAATATCAGAGTATATTTCTAGAAGCGTACACTTTTCTTCCCCAAAAGTATCTAATATTCTTCCACCCTGTCTTCCCAACATTCTTCGTTTAAATCGTCAGGTTTGTACTAATCTTCATATTTTATATTTTAGCGAACGTAACGTTAATATTTCTGAACATGAGAAGTCTTTTGTACACCTTTATTCAATATCCTTACGTATAAAGTAAACCACTTAAGTACCAACTGCCAATTTGCTTTTGTTTAATGTGGGACACCTGAATATGCGAACATCGACCTATTGTGGATATAGGTCGTTGTTTATTTTAGTTCTCTATTTAAGAATAATGGTAACGCTTTGTGTACCAAAACCCGTCTGACTTTTATGTTGCGGTCATAATTTTTTTAATTTTTTCAAAGAAATGCAAACAATTAATTTCCTAATTTACATGTATATAGATAAGTCTGCCAGGATGCAGAATATAGCCAAAATGATAACAGAACAACTACGAAATCCAAACGAGTTAGATATAAGCCTAAGAATGGAGTTTGGGCCTTTTGAAACTATTCATAAATGGAAAAGGATGTCCGAGTGCTATGAATTTGTTGGGGCAAGGTATATCTTATGGGTTTTTGAAATTAATTCATGTTAACAACTGATTTTACCTATCAAATTATATAGTGTTGATGACCCAAGCATTAAAAAAAAAATAACTATTATTGATAATAACCTATTTAATAATTAAATGTTTTAAGCCTTATTTTATTTAATTTAGGAGAAGTAAGCATACTGCTGTTGCATATAAGGATGCGATATATGTGTTTGGAGGTGATAATGGCAAATCTATGTTAAACGATCTGATAAGATTTGATATAAGAGAGAAATCATGGACAAAAACTGGTTGTATGGGAGCACCACCTGCACCACGATATCACCATTCAGCAGTGGTAAGGTTTTTTAAGGTTTTGTTATGTGTAAAAAAAATAGCTTTTCCTATTAGGGTATTATTTATAAGAATGCAACTCTTGCCTCAAACTCATACAAGCTTGCATTAAGAAATTAAAAACAAAAGGTTTTTATTCTTTTTGTAAACTTGCATATTTTAAAAATATGGGAAGTCTCCTCAACTGTAAAGAAATAATGGTGAAAGTCATACAAATTCTCACTCATACTGGAGGTTACACAAATGATTAAATAGGGGTTACCCTTTATATTAATGTTATTATCCTAAATGTGGGAACTAACAAAGTTCTGACTGTTTTAGGTACATCGGTCATCAATGTTTGTTTTCGGAGGATACACTGGTGATATCCTAGCCAACTCAAATCTCACAAATAAGAATGATCTGTTTGAATACAAATTTCCAAGTGCACAATGGGTTCAGTGGAAATTCACTGGACAGTAAGTTGTATGTTTTAGATTTCACTTCATACTTCTATATATTATATTTTAATATAGACTATCCATTGTCTTTGAGACATTATCTTGTTTTAAATGAATATTCCCCCATAGGGAACCTGTACCTCGGTCGGCCCATGGAGCCGCAGTTTATGATGATAAGCTTTGGATATTCGCTGGATATGATGGAAATGCTCGATTGAATGACATGTGGACTTGTAATTTAGTTGTAAGTATTTGTTTATCTAATTAACAATCATTGCCAAACCATTCTGGTTTTGGACATTTGGAAAACCATAGACTGAAAATTCAGGTTTTTTTTCTTCTTATATAGCAATTTAATAGCAATAATAATCCATAAATAAACTTTGGGATTACCGTCTTCTTATCTAATGCTTTTGTACTATTCCAGGGTGAAAATCACCAATGGGAGCGCATAGAACAGAAAGGTGAATGCCCTCCGACGTGTTGCAATTTCCCCGTTGCAGTAGCTCGCAACAAAATGTTTGTTTTTAGTGGCCAGAGTGGGGCTAAGATCACCAACGCCCTCTTTCAGTTCGACTTTGAAACTCAAACGTAAGTGTAGTTGCAAAGCAACCAAGGATTAACTTTCACTTAGAAACATCTGATGATGACTTCCACTCGTCGTTACAATCATATAACACGAAAACATGATGTGCTATCGACCTATTTTGGATATTTTCAAATCCACAAACTAAAACCGGGGCGCGATTAAATATTATTTTTCCTCTGTGGACGGCGGTTTTTGGTCCAGACGGATCTTCATATTCCCTACCTACTAATATTTTCTAGTAATACTAGTTTTCTAGATGAAGTCTAACATATTTAACAAAAATAATAAAATAATAGAAAAATGTTCTCGGTGGGGATCATTATATACATCACTAACAACGACTAACAAATTTCTGCTCCTCATTATCCAGGTGGAGTCGTGTGTGCACTGAGCATCTGCTCCGAAGCGCTGGTCCGGCCCCAGCGCGTAGATATGGCCACGTAATGGTGCACCACGCGAGACATTTATACGTGTTCGGGGGCGCCGCTGATAGCACCCTGCCTTCAGATCTTCATTGTTACGATCTTGATACCCAGATGTGGTGAGTATAAGGGACTAGCTGTCTGCAACGTCAATAGCAGATAGATAATGCAAACTGTATCTATAATGTTTTAATGTTCGGAAATTGTAAATTTAAATTTATATACGTTATAAGGAGATAAAAAAATCGAATCATACGCTTATATGAAATACTGTCTATAGTTTACGCGAGTAGTACACATTTAAATAAAACACTTTAACGGTTTAAAATGCGATATATTAGTTAAACTTATTTGAAAATGATTTTTAACTTCGGCCCGACGTTTCGGATGCTTTGCAGCAGCCGTGGTTAAGGTTGGAAGTTTACCATACTGGTTCTTATTATTTTTCAACTGCGACCTACGCACGTTTAGGGTTTTGTTTAAATGTGTGCGAACTCGCGTTAACTACAGACAGTAGGATTTACTTGATGAAAAGTTAAATACCCTAAATATGTAATATAAAACTAGATAAATTAATAACTATAGTAGTATAGTTGTAATAAACCTAACCAGCCTTATCAAATACGCTGGCGACCTTTTTTGTCTTTAGTTCATCCGAAACCCAAAGCTGGAATTGAAAATAAAGATACCTATATTTGTCTAAGGTCCTTTAAGCAACGGAATCAGCTTAAATAAAGTATCGCGATATTATGTATATTGTTGTTATATATATTGTGAATATATTTAAGGTCCGTCTTACAAGTAGCGCCTGATTCACAAGTCCCGTCGGGTCGCCTATTCCACGCTGGGGCCGTGGTGGGAGACGCCATGTACGTGTTTGGTGGGACCGTAGACAATAATGTCCGTAGCGGCGACCTCTATCGTTTTCAGGTGAGACTCTATTAGTATTATAATTAAACAGATCTTTACAATTTTCCATTGTCTACATTAACCAAATTAAATAGATTCGTATATACACTACTGATCGAGCTGAGTCTATAGTCTATACTAATATATAAAGCTGAAGAGTTCGATTTTTGAATACTCAAAAATACTGGTTCGAATATTTTGGCGGGTTAGAACATTTATCGAGGAAGGTTATAAAATATTGCGCTGTGATTCATAGGAGCGAAGAAACACCTGAAAATGCGGTAAAAGGGGAAAATTATTCATCTTTGTTGGTTTCCAAAGCGTACCGCTGCGAAAACGGTCCTTTGTTGGTTTCCGATGCGTACGCTGCGGAAAACGGTTCCTTTGTTGGTTTCCGATGCGTACGCTGCGAAAACGGTTCAAGATACATAAAATATGTATGAGAGAATGATTTTTTCTTTTAAATTATGAAAAAAAAAGTCTGCGGTATATAGACTCGCAAGAACGACGGGACTCGACCGATGACGTCGGTTAGGAAGGTGGCAAAAACAATGTCGGATGCCCAAAATAACTAATTTACGCGGACGAAGTCGCTGACTCAGCTAGTAGTTAATATAAGTATTACCTTTACTTTATTTACTTCCTTAATATCTAAACTCAAATTCTCTATCGACCTACACTAATCTCCACAGACTTGAATTATATTAAGATGCACATCCATTTGTTTAATGCGTAAGGTGAAAAATCGATTATTTTCCACTAGTTATCAAACTACCCTCGCTGCACCTTACACGATGACTTCGGTCGCATACTGAAATCGCAGCAATTCTGTGACGTCACACTGCTTGTTGGCTCCGAAGAAACCTTAGTGCTAGCACACCAAGCGATGTTGGCTGCCCGCTCGCAGTACTTACGTACTAAGATAAAGTAAGTTGCTATTTCTTAATATAATCTTTCAACTTGGTTATTGAATATTCCTTCGTATCTCAAAATATTTATATCCGGCTTGAGGGACCAATTTTTTTCAAAAAAGTAAAACACATTTTCGGTTTCACTAACACTTGTATATAGGGAAGCTCGCGAAGAACTTACAAAGCGCATAGAGTCAGGCGAAGAAGAACAAACTGAACAATTCTCTTTCAAGTCGCAACCGCAGCTCGTAGTTCGACTCCCGGAAGCTACACCAGAAGCCTTCCGCATGATTTTAAACTACATCTACACGGACAAGATTGATCCCACTGAAAAAGGTTAGCAGATGGAATACTTTTGTCATGTCTTTGGTCATCTTGAAAGAAAAATATGTGACCGTTAAGTTTATATCGAATGGATAATTTGTATTTATAGGCCATATAAAATTTACTTAATTAATTATTTACTATATCAGTAGAAAAGATTAATTCTATTCATGTAAACAATAAAAAATACAACTTGTTCTAATGTCCCAAATTGATTACAGACGAAGACCCAGCGTCACCAGCTACCATGCTGCTAGTGATGGAGGTCCTTCGTCTCGCCTTAAGGTTGAAGATCCCGCGACTTCGCGGTCTGTGCGCGCGGTATTTGCGTGCAAATCTATGCTATGGGAATGTGTTACAGGCCCTTCACGCGGCACATCAAGCCAACCTGGCCTGTATTAAGGAATATTGTTTAAGGTACATATGTGACATAATTTTTATACTAGGTATAATGGCCTCAATTTTGGTAAAATTTTAAAAAATGCTGATAACAATCATAGTATAATTTATAATCTTTTATTTTAACTATGACCGTTAATGTATTTCGCGTTTTTTTTTAAAGTGGTTTGTCAAAACTATATAAAAATGATACTGTCTACTTTAACATGACTTAGACATAATATTATGCACAGCCTGCGTTTAGGACTTTATGGGGGACAACTTCGTTCTTGGAAGTTAAAAATCGGCTGTCAAATGTTATCAAAAGGTCATTGAATAGTAGATGTGTCAGCGACTTCGTCCGCCTAAAAAGAAATCGTAATTTTTGGGTGTCTTGAACCGTTTTCGCAGCGTTACGCATCTTAAACCCACAGAGATGAATAATTTTCCCCGTTTTCTTCACATTTCCCGCTGTATCTTCGCTTCTATTAGTCACAGCGCGATGATTTATAGCCTTCCTCGATAAATTCTCTAACCGTAGGTCCTGAGATTAGCGCGTTCAAACAAACAAACTCTTCAGCTTCATATATTTTAAAATGACGTATGCTCATTTCTAGTTTCTGTCTCAAATATGTAACAACGGCTGTCATTTTCAGAGACCGTCTAATACTAGCTACATAATGTTTTACTGTTTTTAGATTCGTAGTAAAGGATTACAACTTCACTCCGATCGTTATGTCGATGGAGTTCGAGCAAATGGAGCAGCAATTGATGGTTGAGGTGATCCGCCGAAGGCAACAGCCGCCGCCTAAGCAGCCCACGGCGGCTCAATATGATTCTGAAGAGGAAATTATAGGTATAATTTTACTAATATTGGGATTTAAAGAGTCTGTGGGTTTCTCGATGTCAATCAATGACCTTCCCAGGCTTGTTTGTCAATGGTTTGTTGAAATCACATTCTTCACTCCTTCTCTTCACGTTCCACAAGTATAGTAGATGCGCCCCTTTGTTTTTTCGTAATACACACTGTAGTTTCATATTAAAATTATTTTAGAGAAAGTATACAGTTTTTAAATTGCATATTCTTAAGGACCAGGAGTGAATCATAATATATAAAGCAATAATTATAAACTGGTTTTATTTCTAAATTAAATTAAATCTTAAAAAACTAAGTAACCCTATTTTATAATGATTAAATGACACAACACTCAATTATTTGAAAGGAAGACAGATTGAGTTGACACTCTTCAGTCTACCCTTAAGCACGTTGTTGGACAACCGACCGTCGAAATAGACTTATCACCACAACTTCTCATCCCCTCATAACAAACTATTCCTCTCTAACGTCTGTTATAATACAGGTACGAACTTGGAACAGGACATGTGCGTATTTATGAGCAGCGGCGGCGCAGAATTGGCGGATGTGCGACTGCGCGTGGGTGGTTCTCTTCGACCGGCCCATCGCTCCATACTCGCAGCGAGAGCGGCGTACTTCGAAGCCATGTTCAGGTCTTTCTCTCCACAGGATAATATCGTTAATGTGAGTCATGTTTGTTGACACGCCTCGATGTCGAATTTTTTAGATTTTATAAATAAATATTAGAATCAAAGCTTTGGATATTCGGAAATTCACCGGCTTAAACCGAAATGTGTTTAAACCTCACAGATTTTTCATCTGAGGACTTTGATTAGTGACCCGAACAGAAATCCATATTCCTACCATCCATTTGATATACAGATTTCCAGATGAAGTGCAATATATATCAGAGAAAGTTATAAATTGATTAGAAACATTGTGGGCCCGGTGGGGATCAAAATTTCCTACCCTTTGACCATTAGACTACAGGGCCTACTTAAAACTAAAACTAAAGTGTGTATGTGTCCTATAAATAACGTATCTCTATTAAACATTAAAAATCTTTTTAGATAAAAAAAACCTTTACTTAAACTTATCTCTAATATATTCAGATTCAAATATGCGATACAGTGCCGTCGGAAGAGGCGTTTGAATCATTACTTCGCTACATCTACTATGGAGACAGCAATATGCCAACTGAGGACTCCCTGTATTTGTTTCAAGCGCCAATTTACTACGGTAACTAATCTTTCAACCTATTATGCGACCCACCAAACTGCTCCAGTGCGGGTTTGAACGACCCCCGTTGGTTACATGCTTCATGGCTTATAACAACCCAGTAGCTCTACTAAAGCTACTCATAGCTGCTCTAGATATCATCCTTCCAAACTCCGAGCTAATCATAGCAGTTGTTTTCTTTTTTCCGAAAAAAATATAATTTCCGAATTACCTCCTCGTAATCAAATCTAGGACCGTGATTTGCAGTTAATCGCTAGACCAACGAGGTAATATACCACATTGTAACTAATTATTGATTTAATATTTATTTCATGAGATCCATAGTTACCTACTCAAATGGCCCCTTTCTCTGATCTATTTATTTATAGGAAAGTGTGTCAACGTACCATACAATATTTCTATGCGAACCTAGTAATCACTATGCCACGCGAACAAATTTTTTCTTTCTTATGTTGTCACAAATTATTATATTAGTATGGATTCATTTCTATGTTGTTTATAAAGTCTTTTATTTCAGGATTCACCAACAACCGCCTCCAAGTGTTCTGTAAGCACAATCTACAAAGCAATGTGACCCCTGAGAATGTTGTGGCGATTCTTCAAGCAGCTGACAGAATGCGAGCAGCCGACATCAAAGAGTATGCACTCAAAATGATTGTGCATCACTTTGTTCAGGTATGTGGAAGTCACTTAGACCTTGGTAATCAAAACTGACTCAAAATACTTAGAAATTTGTTGGCAGAGTATATTTAACAAATAGATGTTTGCAAAAATTTGTCTGTTGTCTCCTAATAGCATTAATTACTTTAATATTCAATTTTTTTGCCAGTTTTGCCAAATGCAAAGGCAGTTAAATTACCACAAAATACTAGTCTTAAATTTAAAATCTATTAAGATTCAAACATTTACCGATATGAGATGTGTTACACTGTGGATGTTAGTTCAATGCTTGCCCAAATTTTATTTTTTTAATGTAAATGGTTTTTAATTTATATTTACATGCGCAATAATATGTAAAAATATAGTATTTTTTTAAATACCATTCCTCTTAGTTCGCATAGTTTGTAAAATGTAGTGATTCTAAAGGTGGCAATGTCAATAATAATATAAAACAGCCACAGATGTGTGTGATTGGTCTGTGACTGATCTATCTGTACTTCTTAACATGTACAATGCTGACAACAGGTAGCCCACCAAGATTCAATCAGAACTCTAGCGCAGCCACTCCTAGTAGATATTATATGTGCATTAGCAGAGGAGCCTAGACAGGACACACCACTTCCACTACAGCCGAGGTCACTGCCTTCATCCTCTTCAGCAGACACCCTTGCAGACGATGACTACTTTAGACACCGGAGTAACAGGTGAGGTAATCATGAAATTTTATTTATCATTAATGGTAATATTGATAAGGTAAATATTATATTTTAGTTTAAATGAACTGTATAAAAAAAAAAAATTTAGATAGATCTTTTAACATAACACACCCACATATTGTACACATTTTTTAAATTCCAATAATAATATTTTCTAAAGTTTTGATAAACTATTACTAAGACTTATGAGACTACTTTGTATTCAAAATGTTATAAAGTTATAGGTAACACTATCATATTTTTTTCAGGTCTTAACATAAAAAGGGGTCTTCAAGAAAGTTTTACTCCATGATATATTTATTTTGTCGTAGTTACATGATCGCGTTATTGACATTATTGTTTATGCCAGGTTTCACTTTTAATCCTAGAAATATGTTTAAGTAGAGAAATATTATTGATTGTTTAAAAATCAGCAATAGTTTAAAATAAAACACTTTACAGTAGTTAAGTGTAACCCGTATTTAATCAGCAATAGTGTTTGGAGGGAGCGAAAAGCATTTATTTTTATTATAAAATATGCGACAGAAAAGCCTACTTATATAAATACTTTATATCTTGTAATTAAATATTTACATAGATTTCAATAAAAACATTTATTTTAATATTAGATTATATGAACATTTAAAAGTCTATAATAACTTGTCAATAGTATATACACAGCATAGCATAATAGTAATATACACAGCAGTGCTATCCCTCTTACTTATTTTATAGTTATACCCTGAAATATAAAATAAATACACTGTGATTTGGCTGTACACTTAAGTCATCATTGTCATTAAATAGATTTATTATTAGATTTTAAGCTATCTACAGTATGTACAAAAATCTCCCTGTAGACTACAGAAGTATACATTTTTTGTAATTATTTATATATTCTTACTTCTGTTAATTATTAAAATATTCAGCCATAGTGATATGAATCTATAATTTTGTTAATTAGTGTACTAAATATTATTTAAGTTTGCATTATGGTTATTCCAATGCTAAGTTTATTGTTCTAGTCATCTTATCTATGCCTAATGGACAATTTGTATCTTAATTGAAATTAAACAAAGTTTTGAAATAAATTTACTTTATTAAATAATGAGTCTAATTAATTATTACATAGATTTTTATCTATTGTTCGTACTTGTGCTTTATATCATCCCATAGTTTCTGAAAAGATAAATATAATTAGTACACTTAGTCCTATACTTTGATTACTATAATACATCACTAGATTAAACTAGCTTCAAATTTTTTCTACATAGGTCTATAAAAATTACAAAACTGCGATACCACTGACTAAAATTAAAGTAAAACTACTTTTATTTGAACACTAATCATAATAATCTATTAATAGTGTATTCCTATTAAATATGAAGCTGCAATTATCTTATATAGTCGAAACTCAATGCAAATAAGTGCAAGACGCTGAAATACCCAAAAATTAAAGGCTGTAAAAATTACATAACCCATAACTTACACCCTTGTTGATGCTCTGAAATATGGATTGGGAAATGACTTCAAAAGATCTTTCAAAGAAAAAGGTGCCGCCTGCTACTGCCAAGGCAAACGTTGATGTTCTTTTGAAAACAGCACGATTTAAGGTCGCCCAAAAAGACATTTTTATAAATTATTCTTCGACAACCTCGACGATTAAACCAGAACCACCACTAAAATAAATGAACATCAGTTCATAGTTGTCAACTTCAAAAGCTAATGATGTCAAAAGGAAATGTCAATCTTGCGTCAGTTTCTTGATATGTGCATCTGTGGCATATATCTCCATAGACTATAATCTCTTAGAGTACAATATTATCCTATTCATTTTTGTTAGTTTGTCTTATTATCACTTAAAACATCTTGTCTCACTATCAAATATGTATGGTTAGAGAATAGGATGAAATATTAAAACAAAGTCGTTTATTATGGGCAAAATATATCATCTATTTACATTTTAAAATGCTGGTATGAACAATAATTCTTATAAATAATTGAGTCCTAGATAAAAGACAATAATTCATATTATGTAGTGCTTTTCAAGTTAGACCGGTCCCATTCTTTCGCTTTTCACAAAATAGAACACAGAAAGTCAAATTTAAAAAATAAAAAAAATTGTAACATAGGTACTTGAAAGGGAAAATGCATATATCTGTGCAAAGTATTATTACATGTGGTAACGCAGATTCCAGCCCCAAAGTAAAGCTTGATGTGTAATCGATAGGGGCGCATTTATAATATTAGCAACAGTTAGAAAACAAAATTAATCCTATGTACTTTAAACAAGAGATACATAATTGTTTTCGATGTTGGGCATTAGTGGGCTCCATATTACACAAAAAAACTTAAATATTTAGATGTGTAAATACATAAGCATATTTTATACATTACTAACATATAACTTCAAGAAGAGCAAATAATTCCAATAGATTTTTGCATTTAACTTAAACACCTTATTTTATTTATATTTGAAAAGAAATACTACATGTATATATGAATGCTGAAGTTAACATGTTAATTTGCATTAATAGCAATATAAAAAGAGACATGCAATTTAGTTATACATTGTTATTTGTATATGTAAAGTGCCATAAACAAATAAAATTCATAAATCATCTAATCTTATTACATAAAATTTTTGGTGACTAAATATTATATCGTACTCATAGATTGACAACAAAGGAAAAAAGGGAAATCAATTTGTCACATATTTGTTATTATATTTGCAAAGATAGTAAAACAGAGGTGCAATGTTGGTTTTAAAAAATGCTCTCAAATGCAACCAAATTTGAATAACGGCAGACTTCTTATAAGAAGTAATGTATTTTTAAATATATCACAGATAAAAAAGACAAAAAGAAATAAAATCTAAGTTTAATAATGAATTGCTATGAAATGGTAATGCTATTTGATTGTGATAAAACAATAAACTACATGGCGCAATTATTTTTAATTTCAAACTCGAAATATATTAACCCTTTCCGATTAAATAATATTTAAATCAACACTGGATACAATTTGGACTGATATTCTGTAAAATTAAAAAAAAAAAATGTACAGACACACAATTATTTTTATAGAAAGGCGCCCCGCGCGATAAAGGGTGAATGATCTCATGAATCACATACTAACTGTTCTAATTATAGTGTTCCATTTAAAAAAATATGGTTTGCACCTGACTACATAGATTAAATAATTTTTTATATATAATTAAAATTACTACCAGGTGTCATTGGGAATCTGTTGAAAATGATTGAATAATTAGGTCCTTGGCAAAATGGGTATGGTCATATCAAAATTATATGCCAACTCAAAGGTATAATACTTTTATAAAACAATTAAATACTAGTTTCAATCTAACTAATAGCTAAGTGATGACACTAATTAATAGCCTGACGATGAATACAAATTGTAATAAATTCAAATCAATATACACTTCTCAACATGACACTTCATCACATACAATTTAAAAAAGGGGAATACATTCATATACTATACCTAACATTAATAATATTTGGAGTCGATCAATTTCTTACAAGCTCTAAACCATGAGAGTGCAAACCAGCATCGGTGTACCTAGGGAGTTCCACTGAACAGTGCCCAAGCTATTGAAGATCTGGTAATTAGAGATCAAAATATTTTTTTTAACACCACAATATTTTATATTATTGCATTTTTTGTGTGTTTGCTCAGTGCACCAAGTATAGTATCAAACATTCTTCAAGGCTGTTTAGACATGTTGTTGTGCACTCCTTAGCTAAACCCAAGCAACCCATGCTTATACTATTGTCAGATTCAGCTACAGAAAGGTAGCTCGACTGGTTTAAACTCCTGTTATAGTCTAATAACCAAGTGTAACTAAACCCCTACAAAACTTTAGCTGGCAGCTTATAAGGCAATTGCAAGTCCTACTTTCTTTATCTTCCACAGATAATGTTGCTTTGGTCACTTATGGCTGATATAAAATAAATGTGAAATTATGTGCAAAAGGTAGACAATGTGGCCAAGGTACCTGCCCTGCTAGGGTTGTGCAACATCTCATTTTGAGCATTATAAAGTGACATCCCTGGCTCATTTTTCTTAGGTTACTGGCAACATTTCTTTTTACTCTTGTGACCAGACTTTCTAATATTAACTACATCATTTGCTGTGACATTCTGCCTCTCTTTCATTTCCAATTTTGACCGTAAGACCTGAAAAAGATATATTTAAAAATTATTATACTTTACCGACATTCAAAACATATATATAAAGCAATTCTAAAATATTCAAAAATTACCATTATTTACTTATACTATACTCTTACCATTTTTGTGATGGTTAAAAACATTTCTTCCACATTAATATTTTCCTTAGCACTTGTTTCAAATAGAGGTATATTCATTTGATTAGCGAACCTTTGGGCATCTTCTGTTACAACCACCTTCCGTGATGGACAATCATTCTTATTACCAACTAAAAAAATTGCAGTACCAATCATTAATTTAGGCAAACCCAGCACAAACCTCACATAAAATAATATAGATAAAGCTTTCTGGACTATCAGTTAATTAGAAATTATTTGCCCATTACCACCTTTGTTATCAATCATTTACAATCAGTGCAGATGTCAATAATAATTATATGGATTTGATAGAATAGAAAGATAAAAATGTAAACATTTAACTTCATTTGTTTTCTAATACAAATTTCACGAATTTAATAGGCAACCTCTTGTGTTTGTTACCTTACCTAGAACTTTATTAACAACATCACAATTTTGCTCAATCTCATGGAGCCACCTCTTAACATTTGCGAAGGACTCTCCATTTGTCACATCGTAAACAACGATGACGCCGTGAGTCCCTCTGTAATAAGTGCTAGTTATCGTTCTAAACCTCTCCTGTCCCGCAGTATCCCAAATCTGTAGCTTTACACGTTCACCATTTATTTCTAAAGTTCTTATTTTGAAATCAACACCAATAGTCGTAATATAACTGCCGGAGAAAGTATTATCAGCGAATCGCAAGAGAAGACAGCTTTTACCCACACCTGAAAAAGACGTCGTTTAATATTATAATATATTTTATGAAACGTAGACCAATTCTCATATCATTAAAACAGGCCTCGCCCACTCACCACTGTCACCGATAATAAGCAGTTTGAAGAGATGATCAAACTCACGCGACATGATAGAACGTAACTGTTACGCACACAATATCTCAATTCGTCATTCGTCCATGGACTCCTTTGGTAATAATTATTAACCTTTGCAAAGCTATCTGTAAATTTATATGCAAAAGCATACCGTAAAACGTTACGTTTGCATCTCTTTACAAATCGTCCGCCATTATGATTTGTTAATATGATCAAAGACTATACGACTACGACAGTGATTCATGACTTTTGATACAGATTAAAAAATATTTTATTAAACAATCATGTGTTCTCTTGATAGTATTGATTAGTAAAATTGCTTACGAGCACTATTTTTTATCATTTTTATTTACAACGTTCATCATAAAATGTCTCAGGAAATTATGAGATTGAAAAAAACAGATTTTAGTTCCGAATATGAATGGTGAGTTGGTAAGTTTGGTCGTCAGTTGAATGACGTATCACGCAGATGTCAGTTTATGACAGATTGTCACTGTCGTAAATGGAAAATATTTTTATGATTCAAGTATAAAAACTTATCTCCCTGAGAGGTGTGGTATTGGATGCAAGTCTAAGTGAAATCTTAATAATGTCTGCTACTTTAAAACCGTATTTAACGGCGGTGCGGCACACGCTTACGTCGGCTATGTGCTTGGATCACTTTTCGTCACAAGTGGTAGAAAGATACAACAAACCGGAGGTTGAAGTTGGAACAAGCAAAGAACTGTTGTTAAATCCAGTCATCATTTCTCGGAATGCGAATGAGAAAGTTCTAATCGAGTCATCTATTAATTCGATTAGAATAAGTATTATGATCAAGCAAGCCGATGAAATTGAGAAGATTTTGTGTAAAAAATTTATGAGGTTTATGATGATGCGAGCGGAAAACTTTATCGTATTGCGGCGGAAACCCGTCGATGGATATCATATCAGCTTCCTTATTACAAATTTCCACACAGAGCAAATGTATAAACATAAATTAGTTGACTTTGTTATATATTTTATGGAAGAAATTGATAAGGAAATCAGTGAAATGAAATTGGCTGTTAATGCCCGTGCGAGAATTTGTTCAGAAGAGTTCTTGAAGAGATTCTAATAAAGAAGTATTTTTTATAGGACTTATTTAGACTGAAACTCTATTTGCTGCCTTAAAACTACTTAACATCATAATGCAGTGAGGAAAAAATTACCAATTCTAGTTTTAATTATTATTACACTCAGTATTTCAGCATTTAAATTATTTACATATTTTGATATTGGCAGTAGTAATTATAATTTAATACTGGAATATACTGTAATCCATTTGTATATGTTCTGCTTTATTACCAAATAAGATTAAAAAACATTTCTATTATTAACTCACTTTAATCTTTATCCTACCTAAATTACTACACTGAACCTACTTACACTTGAGAACTTGATTTTGATCCTGATAAGGAAATTAATGTAATAGAAGTGAACTACTTTTTGTCCTTTATGGTTGTTGTAATTGAGGATTCCAGACAACTTACAAGTGGATGACATCATCAGCTTTTGCAAATTTTTGGTCTAAGCAAAAGATGCTATATGTGATGGAAACCATTTCTCAATGATACCCACCAAACAGCTTGAAAATCATTGTTGTTTTGCTAAATAGCTTCAACAGTGAAGTAGGCAAAAGATTCTGGAATTATCAAATAACTTTCTTAATAATTAAGAAAGATATAAGATAAGTGGTTTTAAATAGTTTTTTAATAAATCATACATAGTTAATTTCAAACAATTTGACTTATTTAACAATAGATGTGTTTGAAATGATATCACAGGTAATTTTATTTTATTAGTTCTTAGATTTTGCAGTTCTTAATGTGAAACCCTCTCCTTTAAAAGCTTGGAATGGTTCTTCTGGAGCCTCGTCTTTAGAACTAGATGGCTGAGAACTTCTGATAAACTTCAGAGTTCCAATAACATAATCATAATCTGGTATACCACGTACATATGACTAAAAAAAACAGAAATTACAATTAATAGGAGAGAAATAAATTGTTAAGACACAGATACACATAAGCTCAAATATTTTAATATATTAATGAATTATAAATCCTCTATATACAAGGGATAGATATTGCTATGTTTGATGCACCTTTTTTACCCTGGATTTGAACCAACGGCCTTATAGGCTTAAGGCACTATACAACTGGACCACAGAGGCAGAATTAACTCAAGCTATTGAGAACTACCTGTCTGGAGTGAGATGCTTGAGGTTCTGAATCACTTTCGCTAGTTAACTTCTTTTTCTTCCCATCCAATCTATTTCCTTCACCCTTGAAGGCCACAAAACCGCTTGGCTCTGCCATCATGGCAACACTGTCATCTTCCATACCAGTGTCTGTGTTGCCCTCATTTCTTCTAATGTGATCTTCTTCTTTATAACCAACTGGTGGTGCAAATTCAACCTGAAATTAAAAAAAATAAGCTACTTAAGAAGACAAAAATAAATAGTACATACATATTTTAATTTGGCAACAAATATTTTCTAGGCAAATAATTTAATTATAAGTTATTATAATATGTTAGAGTAAGTTTTCAATAACATGAAAAGAGGTTAATTTATATAGCTTTTTTGGGTTACTTACATTCATGTCACATTCAATAATAATAACTGCATTACCAGGTTTGGTCTCAAGTACACAGAGTTCATACACTTTTGAATTGTATTTGATTGCAATAACATCACCAGTTGTGAGACAGGAAAAGTTCCTCAAACAATTTTCCAAAACTACAAAGATTTCCAGTTAATTAAGAAACATTATCTTGATAATACCATTATTTTTGGCATTATAACAAAGTTAAACAGGAATATATTTCATTTTAGTCATCCCAATTGTTAGAGATAATTGTAAATTTTGTACAACAGGATTCTAAGTGGACATAACAAGAAACTATATTTGTACTCTCATCTAATCATTTAAAAAAAATTCATTTTCATACCTGCTTTTGGATTTGTTATATCAAGAAAATCTTCAGACAAAGGTTGAAACTTAGAAAATGTAGCCACTGGTAAGGATACACTTTCTATTTGTAACAGAGAACCTTCTTCCAGCACTAAATTGGTCATCATCTGAAAATATTGTTTCAGTTGTGCTTTTCCAGGCAGGGCAAAATTAACAAAAAAATATACCAAATTGAAAATAAACTGAATTTTCTATTAAGATGTATAATAATTATTATAAAAACCTATTGGTTTTTGTAAAAAGCTTATTTTTTAATCTTCATATATATTTACTCACCCAGTGTGGTAAATATGCTTTCCCTTCATCTGCAACAAACTCCAAAACACCACAGTGTGTAATTCTCTTGGTCTTCTTATTTGTCAGTTTGAAAATCATTGGGTATTCTATGTTTAGCCTAGTTAATTGTTCTAGAGCTGAGGGTGGCATTATAACTACAGAGAAAAAGAACAGTTAAGTTTTTGCTTGTTCAATACTTTACAACATTCTACATTTACAAATATATGGAATGCCGCATTTACAACTATACAATGCTACTTACTTTTTCCACCTCTCTCCACATCTTGTCTCTCATTTCCAGGTAACATAGAAACGGAATAACATCTATAAGTCATGTTAAAAGGTCTGCTTATTTCGTGAAACATATTGAATCCGAACTGAAACTGAACAAAATTTAATAAGTTTTATAGCGTTAATTTATTATGTATGAATCATTCTCTTAGAAAATTTTACCATCTTTCGTTGCTTATAGTTTATTTTTGGAACAATGAAAATTTGTATTTTGTAAATAGTTGCAAAATGCAAATCACTCAGAATAGAATGAAATAATCGCTTAATTCATAAATGGAAGTGACAACCAAGTGACAAATGACAATTTCACTATCCGAATGTGAGTGATCTTACGGGAAAAAATCATTGCATACTTTCATTCATTAATGTAGTCATGTGTAACATTTTGAGACCCTTTCATGATCATTTTGTTGTAAAAAAACAAAATAAAAATATTTGAAGTTTTCTACAAGTACCTATTTTAAAGTATTATTCGGCTATAAAATAAGTTACTTAGCTTAGAGCCACTTTTAAGTATATTCATATTATTTATAATCTGTGCGTTTTCATTTCTGTATCATTCATTTAATCGTTCGTTACTCCTTTCTTTTCCCATAGGTATTTCATTCAATCCCATTCGGCATTCTTACGTTTGTGTATGTGGCAGCCGCAGTGTATTTTACTATTATTTCTTATAAATAAGATTATCAAATTTATCACATTTTCTTAATGTAGAAGTAAAATCAAAAAGTGAGTAATAACTACGCTTCCTAACTTTAATCAATATAATCTTCTGGGCGTTTGTCAATTTTCATATTGAAAGTTGTAACATAAAAGAACGCCATGTTGCTTGTCAAAGGTGTTATTCGAGTTGGAAGAAATTAAATTTCACCTATCATTTTCAGACTGCGCGATATTTGAAGATCGCTTAATAGCCTGTTCAGTGTAGTTAAGCCAAAGAGAATTTGCAACGATGGCTCAAGTTTTGCCAATACGCTTTCAAGAGCACTTGCAGGTGAGTACGCCCATTGGATTTTGTTAGGATTCCCGATAGCGTTTCATGAATGGAATATAGCTTTACTTACTATTTTGGTGGGGTTTTCCTGTGATTACCATTGCAGTAGTGGGAAATGATAACGCAATTTTCGTTGCGCAATCTGAATGACAGATTCCACCCCCTAGGAGCGAATGATCGCCGGTATTGATTTGCGCAAATATGTATGTAATTGTACCGGACAAATGTTTTCATCATGAATCTACTTATTTATAATGACCATTTAGTTCTTTAATTAGATTTGCTCCTATAATGCAAATGTTGCTATTATGTAGACAAAGGATCAGTTCCAAGATACTTCCTGTTCGGTACTGCTAGATTTGAACTTGAAAGTATCTAAGATAGTTAATAATGTTATAATCTTATCCTTAATATAGTTATATTATGCTTATGCAGTATAGATTCTGTCTTTAGCTACTAGCTTTTATAAATAAATCCTTACTTGAATGACTAATAAGTAAATTACAACAATAGTCCTAAGCAAGTAAGTTTATGAAGTAAATTTTGTTCTGTGTAATTGAAATATGATTATTATTAATAGCTTAGCTTAGTAAATATGAATTTAACAGAAGAATATGAATTACCAATAAATAAATTTGGTATTTTAACATATTTATTTAATAATTTTCTTTTTAATAAAGACAAAGCCACCTATTAAGGATTATAAAAATGTATAGAATGAAGAAACCAACATCATTAATAAATTAAAAACTGTTATGTAAATAAGCCAGTTTTCATTATGAAATGTTTTCAGTTTTGATTTTTAAGCTGTATTACAAATACTACTACTATTTGAACTGAACAGACACATATAATAAATATTTGACATAAACTTAAATACTTGTTTTAGCTCACAAACATTGGGATCAACCCAGCGTCGATCTCCTTCAATACACTCACCATGGAATCTGATAAGTTCATCTGTGTCAGAGAGAAAGTTGGTGATACATCGGAGGTTGTCATAATTGATATGGGCGATCCAACGAACCCAATCAGACGGCCGATATCTGCTGACTCTGCTATAATGAATCCTGCCAGCAAAGTCATTGCACTTAAGGGCAAAGCTGGAGTTGAAGGTGAGAAATCAAATAATTAAGATTTAAAAGTTTCTCTTGCATGGTGGTGTTAAGCCTAAGAGGTAATGAGTTTGAACAGAGAATTAACCTGTTTTGTGGGCCCTCTCCAATGGGTATTCCACAGAGTGTTCATTTGGGAACAAAGCTACATTTTTAAAGTGTAAGTAACACTTTAGCTAATTGGGTTAATAAGTGAAACATTTAGCTTATTATATTATGCGATATTTTCAATGAGCATAGGTAAGCACAAACGAACTTGCTAAATAAAACAAGTAGGAACAAGCTGTTTAAGTGTAAAACTGTTGTAAAACTATGTTGTCACTTCATTGCAATATTAGTTAATTTAAATGTTGTGGAAACAGTTATATAACTCTTGTTGGCTCGCATATTTATGAAAATTATTGATGCATTGCCAATATAATTTTCCTTTAGCTTAAAAAGCCATTTTTAAGTTAACTTATTTCTATGGATGGGGGGGCTAATTTTGTTTTGTATGAGACCAATGCATTCACAGAGACAGACATATAACTTATCCGTTAATTACATATAGCCTATGTATACCTAAATTATCATAAGGTTTTTTGGACCTTGTTTATTATTTACAGTAGATTTTATTTGATGCCAGTTATATTGTCTGAGGAAAGTCAAGAGATTGACCGAGACTGGAAGAGATGAAAAGCTGAACTCAAAAATCGAATTCACAGCCTGAACCAGCAGTTTATATTTTTTCAATGTGTTCACATTTTGAGCACAATTAATTGATTTTTTGTAACACAAAAAAGGCCAGTCAACTGTTTATCTAAAAGTAATAATATAAAAATTGTGAAAAGTGTTTCTGATTATGCCCTTGTCTTTGATTACCAATAAGCCTATATCACAGTGAAAAAGTAAGGCAAATGGATGCAAAAGCAAGCACTTGAATTCTCTTAAAGCTAATTCGCAGCTTAATTGCGATTGTTATAAAGCAGGCTGAACCGCCATTAGCTGGAGTATCATTGTTACGCCCACGCCTCAATATTGGGGGTAGTGCCATCCAAAAAGAGGGCGTAGGCAGCCGGCCAACTGGATAATGACGTAGTGCTTTCGATTGCGCATTTCCACGCGAACACAGGAAAGCACGTCGGGTCGTAGCTAAAAATAAATTGAACCATATCTTTCGCGTTTTAAACTGTAACAAGTTTTTTAATTAATAAAAGAAGTATAAGTATATATTCTATATCATTACATGACATGCTTGAATACTGAACTTATAATGAAAAATGTGATATGTATTGGTAAAGATATATTATCAAATATTTGTAAAGAATATCTACTTCAAACGGAACGAAACGGAAAACTATAAAGCAAAAAATATATATAACAATTTTCACAGTCTACATAGACTGATTTAAAATGAAAATCGATTATTTTATAAATTAAAAAAAATAATACCAATCGGGCAGGACTTGAACCGGCATCTATAGCGTTCCGTGCTGTTCCTCTAACCAACTGAGTCCTACACGTCATCGTCAATTTTTTTCAACCTATTCATATATGCACCTCTCGCGCAATTATTGATTTAATAAATAGACAATGATTTCCTTACTATTAACCTCATGAAAAAAAATCCATAAAAAAAGGATTCCCAAAGTTCCTTTCTAAGCGACGAAGTCGTACCTTTATAAAGCGCGAATACCGAACGCGAATATCTAATAAGGTAACCTCCTTTGTTGTAGTCAGCTTTTTAAGTTTAGATTAAATAGAGTATAAATCTCCACAGCTGGGGTCCCGTACAGATTAAAAAATAATTCACCAACATAGTTCGCGTTTAAACCCGCGTAAAAAAAATATCTACCAATCGCGAAAACTATACATATCACGTTTACATAGCCAAGCCGAGAAATGTAGGTAACATTCTTTATCATAGCGTTGTTATTGAACTATTAATACATTAATTATTATCTATTGAAAGTACAATAAAAACAGCATGAGATATTTGACCTTTGCAAGTCTAATTCACAAGGTTCGCCTTATTTATATTTACTGGAGGTATCTCAAAACTACAAAGTGATTTTTTTATATATTTTAACAGACAACCTCGGGGTTTTTGGTAGGTTCAGCTAAAATCTAAAGAAGATGTGCTGTCGACCGTAAGTTGGCTTGGATATTCGGAAATCCACAGACTGAAAGCGAAACGCGATTAAACTTCAGGGCTTCTTCATCTGTGGACGGACCTTGGCGCCAATGTACTAATATCCATATTTCCAAACGAAGTCCAACATGTTACAGAAAAGTTATCAATTATTAGACATTGATTTTTAGCCCGAGTGGTCCCAGTCCCTAAAGCGACTTTGTTTATGCATTGAGTTTTTGTATACTATGTACTTAATATGTTTTTATGTTCCTAGCGTTGTGTAAAATATTAACGTCTTATATCACTTAGGATTAACGGTGAAACGTACACAGACAAGGTCACTACCCTTTGTTTTGACTTCAGTTGCAATAAATTTCAGATGTTCTTCCAGTTCATTAACACACATTTTCGCTCGTTTTTTTTATCTATTGATAGCGTCACACACTTAGATCACTGACTTGTGAATGTTAATTATGACTCATTTACGCAAGGTTTATGATGCAACATAATATAATATAATATGAGGCTACAGCCAGAGTGGCTTAACATACATAGTCCATTGTGGCATTGTGGTTTCTGTATATTTCAAATTGTGATCAAAATTTAAGGTCACTGCGATCGTGTATATTAACATTATTAACTCAAAATATGGATATGTCAAAAATCAGAAAAAAATGCAGTTAGGTCACCCTGGCTCCAGCAGCCTGATATAACTGCTCATGCAAAAAAAGTAATTACGTAATGTTACATATAAAATATACTTATTTTAGATTGAAAGTCGTTATGACACAGATTACCAACAGTAATCTCCATGGTTACTCTACCAATTGAACTAACGTCCAGTCCAGTGTATGACCATCAAATTTATCAGTTTTCATTTGTATTAACATGTGAAAATTGTAAAGATTCAAGGACGAATAACTATTTCACCTTACAGGCGTCACACATACAAGATTCATAAAACAAATAAAGTAAAGTGAAATTTTCCTTTCAATTTGCTATACTCTTCAAACAACAAACTATAATAAAATCATAAATAATGCTATATTCGTTGTTATTATAATAAATGTAATTACAGTATTACGAAAAAATGGTGTCAGAGAGATTACAGTTTATTGCGGACGTTTTCACGTAATGAAAAATGCCATGAACCTTAGCTATAACCTTGCTCCACGTTCCAAGTATGAATGTCTATAAAATATAACGAGATTTATCTATCGTATGAATCCTTACATTTTAATATTAGATATATTATTTTGAACATATTATATATACGAGTAATAAAAAAAGTGTCAATGACATACATAATGTGAAAAACTTACTTTGATATCAGAGACGCCCTCCATCTTTAGTCTCCACGTGACCATTGCTGCTGGAAAGCCTCTGAAACATTAGTTAAAATAATTCAAATAAATTTTGCGTTTTAAACCGGTAAAGTGTTTTATTTAAATATATAATATGGTTCGGGCTCTACTAGTCTGCTATTAAAGGCTCGTACCAAAACGATTGTTTTCTTGGGGTTAGAACACAGAACTTTTCACAGTTAAACTTACAGCAAACTGATGTCTAAACATCAAGCTGCAGTGACGGTAAAGTGTAATCCCGTCTCCCTTTCGTGGGGCGAACACATTTCTGTGTCCGTCTCACTGATCAGTTGTTTAACAAGCAAGCAGTTGATCAGATTTCTGTGCCTTGCCCGACAGAAACAATTTTTTGTTTCCCCTGGATTTGAACCAGGACCTCTCGCGCTTATCGCTTACAATGTGCCTACAGAGTCGGTCACAGTGACGGTATTCTTTCTTAAACTCCGCATTAACGAGTAATTTTATCGATCCCAGCGGCGCAAAAGACCCTGCAAATATTCAACATCGAGATGAAGTCCAAGATGAAAGCGCACACGATGACAGAGGACGTCGTGTTCTGGAAGTGGATATCGCCGAACACCCTCGCCCTAGTTACGAAGATGTCGGTCTACCACTGGTCCATGGAGGGCGATTCGCAGCCGGTGAAGATGTTCGATCGCCACTCATCGCTCGCCGAGTGCCAGATTATCAACTACAGGACCGACCCGAAGCAGCAGTGGTTGCTGTTAGTTGGTGAGTGATTCAGTTTAGCTCTTAAAGGTTTGCAAAAAGGGAAAATAAGACTAGGAAAATTTGATGTTTTTTTTACCATTTCTAGCTGTAAGGATCTTTGATCTCATCTCGTTTATTGAAAGCTGACTAGCGGAAAACTATAGAGACACTTTAAGTCATCTTGTATAGTACATATTTTTTCTTACTTACTGTCGTATTTCACAAATTGCACAAACATATATACAAAAAGCAAAACACAAACACTTAAATGTAAAATATACAAATAAAAAGTCGTTTGTGCATAGGCAGCCTGATCGCCCACGGCTATTTCTCCCAGGCCACCTTTGCATGGATAAAAAATAAAAGTATAGTAACGGAGTAGTGAGAAAATATTATATGGTATGATTTGCATGATATAGATAATCACGAAGCTAGGAGGCCTGAAAATTGCACAGTAGGCTGTTTTCTTCATTATGAAGTGTTTCTTTTCCTACAGGTATTTCCGCCCAGCAGAACCGCGTGGTTGGCGCGATGCAGTTGTACTCCGTGGAGCGCAAGTGCTCACAGCCGATTGAGGGCCACGCAGCATCCTTCGCGACGTTCAAAGCTGAGGGGAACACTGAGCCATCGACGCTGTTTTGTTTCGCAGTACGCACCGCGCAGGGCGGCAAGCTACATATTATCGGTACGAAAAAAGAGTATTCATGATTTATATAAAAAAAAACTGGAGTTTTAAATGTTATATCCAGACCATAATATTTTAACGAAACCATATTTTACCGAGATATCTGTATTTTGGAAAGTAAGGTGTGAAGAATTACATAATTTTTTATAACATATACCTTTTCTTATGAATATTGTTTTAATAAGTTCCACTTCTATTTCTGGCAACTGTTAAAATATTTATATAACAGCTGCCAAAACAGGCATGATTATAGTTGCGCTCTGTAATTAGAGGAATGTAGTGCGTATTCGTGAAAAAAAATATAATAGGACTGTTGATAAAGCCCCTATTTTGTGAGCCTTTTTTGGAAATAAAAAATATATAGTCGGGCACAATATATAGAACGAAAACGAGCTTTCATTTTCTATTTCAGCTTTCTAGGATCATAAACTAGACCTCTGAAGACACAGCCATTAAAAAGTTATAAACATGGTCTTGAAGTAATACATTTTCGCGTGTTGTCGGAAATGCCTATAGCAACACCAATCAGAGTTATATATATTCCCTTATTTTTTCATTCTTATCTCTTAATATAATTTTTCTCCTTCAGAGGTGGGACAGCCTCCCGCAGGCAATACAGCGTTCCACAAGAAGGCAGTAGACGTGTTCTTCCCTGCTGAAGCTCAAAATGACTTCCCCGTGGCCATGCAGGTCTCCCCGAAATACGACGTCATCTACCTCATCACCAAATATGGATATATTCATATGTACGACATCGAATCTGGTACCTGCATTTACATGAACCGTATCTCGTCTGATACGATTTTCGTGACAGCACCGCATGAGTCTACTGGAGGAATAATCGGTAAGAACATACTATATGTGCCTTTAAGTTTCAAATCATATGTCAGTGTATATAAGGTGAAAAGGCATTGAAGTGTAGAATTAAAAGATATATTATTTTTTTCCAGGCGTGAATCGCAAAGGACAAGTGCTATCCGTAACAGTAGAGGAGGATTCCATTGTCCCTTACATCAACACTGTCCTCCAAAACCCTGAGTTGGCACTACGTTTGGCTGTCAGAAATAACCTGGCCGGTGCCGAAGAGTTGTTTGTGAGGAAATTTAACATGCTCTTCACCAATGGCCAGTATGGGGAAGCTGCTAAGGTATACTTTTATTTATATTAAACATTTTAATATGTATTTTGCAAATGAAGTCAAATATGTTGAAATTTAATAGATTCATCCACCTTATATTTTTTTATATGTTATACCACATACTACGTTTATAGAAAAATAGTAGAATGATTTCTCTTATGCTAGTAACTATTCAACCACGTTATCTTTGCATGAGTATGTAAAAACTCAGTCAAGGTTTAGAAACATTTTTAAAAGCAATTTTCAATAATTTTAAACCATTATTCCGTTACAGGTGGCAGCGATGGCGCCCCGAGGCATCTTACGTACTCCACAGACGATCCAGCGTTTCCAGCAAGTGCCAACACAGCCAGGGCAAACATCACCTCTACTGCAGTACTTTGGAATTTTACTTGACCAGGCTCAACTTAACAAGTTTGAGTCGTTGGAGCTGTGCCGTCCTGTCTTATTACAAGGTATAGAAAACTAAAACCTTTGTACACAGTCATGTTTCTATGTTCTTTGCACTAATAGATTTTATCTGTCACTGTCTTTTGTTGACTCGGTCTTATATTTTTCGTACATAAACTGTATTTATGGAATATATATTAACGTCATTCAAATGCACTTCTTATCTTATCTTCAGCTCAGACAACTTTTTATCATATGATGAAACGTTTGTCTTCAAACTATTTTGTTTCGTTGAAACTTATTTCACTAGTTTTAATCGTTATATCTAAATAATTAAAAGATTTGGTATATCTTTGATATATTTAAACTTAGTACACAAATAAGTTTTGAAATATAAAAAAGTTTAGAGCAATTTTTCAAGTCATGCCCATGTAGCAAATTCTTTTTGTTTTTTTAAAAATCTAAAATCGATCGAAACTTCAAATCTATAATAATGGCAATAATAGTTGTAATTGACATGTATATATCTTTTAAACTTGTTACTCACCTTGTTATCAGGTAGGAAGCAGCTTTTGGAAAAATGGCTGAAGGAGGAAAAGCTGGAATGTTCCGAAGAACTGGGAGACCTTGTAAAGCAAGTAGATCCAACCCTCGCATTATCTGTGTATCTTCGTGCGAATGTTGCAAGCAAAGTCATTCAGTGCTTTGCCGAAACTGGTCAATTCCAGAAAATTGTGCTTTATGCTAAGAAGGTGAGTTTAAAAAAAGCTAAATTATCCGCTGACAAAAATTTGGCTGTAATTGAGAACAACAACAACATTTGTTTGCAATATTATAATAAATATTTATTCAAACAAATTTTAATCATGCTGTATTAAGTGTCTGTTTATTATTACTAGAGGTGTAGTCTTAATTCTTCTTATATCTTCTTTGTTTCATGAATATGTTTTCACTATGACAGATAGAGTATAAAGTCACGGAAAATTATTAAAACAATAACTTTAAATATATGACGAAACTTTGCAAAATCGAGATAATTATTGTGTTTAAATGTAATACATTCTTTGAAAATTATAAAGTTAGTTATATTCGTACCACAAACATGTATATCTATCTGTGAACCTTTTACATAGGTTGGATATACCCCTGACTACATCTACCTACTACGATCCGTGATGCGTACGAGTCCGGAACAAGGCGCCGGATTCGCGGGCATGCTTGTAGCAGAAGAGCCGCCTCTGGCAGACATCAATCAGATCGTAGATGTCTTCATGGAGCAGAACATGGTGCAGCAGTGTACCGCCTTCCTTCTCGACGCGCTCAAGAACAACCGCCCTGAGGAGGGTCCGTTGCAGACACGGTAATAAGACTGTTATTTCCTATTATATTATAGTTAGGAGAGTGTTCATACTATTTCAAAATGAAATAGTATGAACACTCTCCATTTCATTCTTTTTATGATATGCATATTAGAGGTTACTCAAATAAATTAAACAATTAATCGGCGAGTAAAATGGACTAGAAACCTGGCAGGGTTTTTTTTTTATTATAAAAAAGCTAAAGATGTATTCAAGGTTTTAAAATAATGAATAACCGTTATATTCAGTGGTTTATTTAAACTTTAATTCGAAATATATTCGATACTTTCACTTATATTTAATTTGGCCATGAATTCAGTCGATAAAAAAGGATATATGTTATATGTTAGTTATCAACAGTAGCATTTTTGTTAATTCTATATTGCACATACTATAGCAATAACGTTATGTATATGCTATCGACAGCCTCCTAGAGATGAACCTAATGTCGGCACCGCAAGTAGCAGACGCGATCCTCGGTAACGGAATGTTCACCCACTACGACCGCGCGCACGTGGCGCAGCTTTGCGAGAAGGCTGGCCTGCTGCAACGCGCCTTGGAGCACTACACCGACCTCTACGACATCAAGCGGGCTGTGGTATATTATTTCTTGCTTGTAAAATGTAAAGAATATACACATTCGACCAAGTTTAGCTTTAGATATTCGGTAATCCACAGAATTAAACTAGGCGATTAAGAGAGTAGCGGCGAGTTTCTTGCCAGTTCTTCTCGTTTGTTTTACGCCCTTGATTTGAGATCTGGTAGTAAATGTAAATTAGATTTTTTAGTTTTGTGACGTTCATAAGTGTACCTTTACCTACGTGAATAAATGATTTTTGACTTTGATTAAAGCATCACTCATTTCCATTTCTAGGTCCACACACACCTGCTGTCTGCCGACTGGCTAGTCAATTTCTTCGGAACACTCTCGGTTGAAGATTCCCTGGAATGTCTGAAGGCGATGCTGCAAGCGAACATCCGCCAGAACCTGCAGATTTGCGTACAAATCGCGACCAAGTACCACGAGCAGCTGACCACTAAGGCGCTCATCGAACTATTCGAGAGCTTCAAGACATACGAGGGATTGTTCTACTTCCTTGGGTCTATTGTTAACTTTAGTCAGGACCCCGAAGTACACTTCAAGTACATTCAGGTGCGTTTCTATATTATTATTATCGTAGTCAAATTGTTATTTTGGCATCAAAATTTGTCATTGAAACCCTCAATGATCAATATTTTTTTTCAGTTTTTCCATATTTCCCTCTGTTTCTTCGTTAGTATTGATCGCAGCCTGATGTGGATACAGTCTTGATAATGATTATTTCAATAGAACAATGAATTTCTGAGAATTAAGTGTTTAATCAAACCAACCTTTCAGCTTAATAATTTTAGTAGAGATTGTAATAATGTTAAGATGTTTCGTTAATTAAAAGATGTTTTTCACCTTATCCAGTCTGCATGCAAAACCGGACAAATTAAAGAAGTGGAACGAATCTGCCGCGAATCGAATTGCTACAACGCGGAACGAGTGAAGAACTTCCTCAAAGAGGCTAAGCTTCCCGACCAGCTCCCTCTCATCATCGTGTGCGACAGATTCGATTTCGTTCACGATTTGGTGCTATATCTATACAGGAATAGCCTCCAAAAATACATTGAGATCTATGTACAAAAGGTATGTAATGCTTCTTTCTAAAAAAAACTTTTAAAGTATTTTTTTTATATTAGTGCTAGAAGTATGTTTCCTTTAATGTAGTTGCCGAACAGAAGCTATATTAGACATGGAGTAAAGAATGTCTTTATTAATTCCAGGTGAACCCATCACGTTTGCCAGTTGTGGTGGGAGGTCTGCTAGATGTAGACTGTGCTGAAGACATCATTAAAAACTTGATTCTTGTGGTGCGCGGACAGTTCTCTACTGATGAACTCGTTGCCGAGGTTGAGAAGAGAAACAGGTATATACATAAATAATAACTACCTGCCGAAATATTATATATTTGGTAAAGCATGTCTAATAAGAAAAATATAATAATTAAAAAAATATTTCTGAATTCCAGGCTGAAACTGTTACTGCCATGGTTGGAGACACGAGTACACGAGGGCAGCAATGAGCCTGCTACACATAATGCGCTTGCGAAGATCTACATCGACTCTAACAACAACCCAGAAAGATTCCTCAAGGAGAACCAATGGTAAGACTGTATTTGTAATTTTAACATGAGATTCTGTTATGAACATGTTTAAATAAAACACTTTATCGGTTTAAAACGCGTTCAAATGAGTTTAACTATTGAACCCTTAAAATGTTTGATTTAAATGTGTACATACTATTCGCGAAAACTGCAGACAGTATTCAATATGCCTGGTTATAGTTTTATTGTACTTTATTACCTGTGAATCAGGTACGATTCCCGGGTGGTCGGTCGCTACTGCGAAAAGCGTGACCCGCACCTCGCGTGCGTCGCGTACGAGCGTGGGCAATGCGATCGCGAGCTGATCGCCGTGTGCAATGACAACTCGCTGTTCAAGACGCAGGCGCGCTACTTGGTTCGTCGCCGGGACCAGGACCTCTGGCTGGAGGTGCTTAGCGAGAGCAATCCCTTCAAGCGGCAACTTATTGACCAGGTACGGTGGCGATATGTACTTTAAAATTAATAAAAACAACTCAATCTCTTCTTCAAGTTTTTAAGTTATAGATTAAACGTGATTTAACGAGCGTCAATATATAAACATTGAAAATTTTTAATTATTGTCAGTATTTAGTTTTTGTAAGAATGTACACGTCCCTTTGATTTTGATTGAGATGTCTATTGTTCCATAGTATTAATTGGAATTGGATGCTGAGTGTTATGTAAAATTGTCGCTCAATTAACGTAATATTTTATGTAGGTGGTCCAAACTGCTCTGTCAGAGACCCAAGACCCTGAAGACATCTCGGTGACAGTGAAGGCCTTCATGACAGCCGACTTGCCCAACGAACTTATCGAGTTGCTCGAGAAGATCGTGCTCGACAGCTCTGTGTTCTCCGACCACAGGAATTTACAAAACTTGCTTATTCTCACTGGTAAGGTTCAATCCTTTAATCTTTAGTAGTGCCGTTTTACGTACAAATGGTTTGATTTTCTCTGATGCCATTGATACGGAGTTAGTCAAACATGAACTAAAGTAATAATCAAAACTAATACTTTATTAATTATAAAACCGACTGGCTGCCATGCCAGAAAGTTTTACTTCGCTTATATTTGACAATTGTTCTATGGAGAACCAAACTTTTAAAATTATATAAAACATCGTATTTCTTCCAACAGCAATTAAGGCGGACCGCACGCGTGTTATGGAATACATCAACCGCTTGGACAACTACGACGCGCCAGACATTGCTAACATCGCAATCAACAATGAATTATATGAGGAAGCCTTTGCCATCTTCAAAAAATTCGATGTTAACACTTCCGCTATACAAGTAAGTACATAACAATATCTGTGTTTCAGGTTGTAAATTAAGAGTTTAATGTATAAATAACTTCAATCTAATTGAATAAACCTATTTAAATTGAGTTCATTTTGTAATAATAATTTGTGCTGTACATATTAGAGAACTATATTCTCATAGAATGTTAATTTTTAGGTCCTCATCGAGCAAGTCAAAGACCTTAAACGGGCCTACGAATTCGCCGAGCGCTGTAACGAACCAGGTGTGTGGTCGCAGTTAGCCAAAGCCCAGTTGCAGCAGGGCTTGGTTAAGGAAGCCATCGATTCCTACATCAAAGCTGATGATCCTTCGGCGTACATGGATGTTGTGGCTACAGCCAGCGCCCAGCAATCTTGGGATGATTTAGTCCGCTATCTTCAGGTGACAGTTAATAATCTTATTATATGGAAAACCGTTTTTGATGCTATCAGAAGTAGGATGAGATAGTTTTGAAAATTATACCGTATTTATTTTTAGATGGCTCGTAAAAAAGCGCGCGAATCATACATCGAGTCTGAACTTATCTACGCGTACGCACGTACTGGCCGTCTCGCGGACTTGGAAGAGTTCATCTCTGGACCGAACCATGCTGACATACAGAAGATCGGAGACAGGTGCTTCGATGACAAGATGTATAATGCGGCGAAACTGCTCTATAACAATGTTAGCAACTTTGCCCGTCTTGCTATCACGCTTGTGCACTTAAAGGAATTCCAAGGTAAAAACTACCACATACCTAGTTCTTAATAAATATATTGAGTCCATAAATATAATGTTATTTGCATGGCTACTTCGGTTTTAAGCTATTCGAACGTGGACAAACATTTCTTAGACTCGGCCGCAAACTCGAAAAGCGAAATAATTGAATTCAAACGATTTTACTAGTTTACGTGTCATTTTTTATTAATTGATTCCCAGCGATATGCAATTCAATTTTTAATTTTATAGGTGCTGTGGATAGCGCGCGAAAAGCCAATTCCACGCGTACGTGGAAGGAGGTTTGCTTCGCATGTGTGGACGCCGGCGAGTTTAGACTGGCACAGATGTGTGGCCTTCATATTGTGGTGCATGCTGACGAATTGGAGGACCTTATTAACTACTACCAGGTAAGATTTTCTTAATTACTTTTAAATCTTAAATCGATATAATTTTTTTGTTGTTATAAGTGTATAATAATAATGGTTAGACACATTGATGCATTTCTTAAATTTAATTTGTGTATTTGGATTCCTAAAAATTTGACTGAAGTTGTATTTTAGCATGTATTAGTCACTATAATTATAATTGTATATGCTACAGGCATCAAATTAATGATTTACTTGTTTTTAATTGTTACGATATTTTAAATTTTTCAGGACCGAGGCCACTTCGACGAACTTATAAGTCTGTTGGAAGCAGCGCTCGGCTTGGAGCGCGCCCACATGGGCATGTTCACCGAGCTGGCCATCTTGTACTCCAAGTACAAGACCGCCAAGATGAGGGAGCATTTGGAACTCTTCTGGTCGCGAGTCAACATTCCTAAGGTATTTTCATTCACATTTTTACACACATTGCACAAACAATACTTTTTTAGACCAGCGTCACCTGTAGACGTAGGCACTTTTTCATTTTATATAACAACGTTTCTCAAAACAGCAAGCTAAAAAAATCACATTTTTTTTATAATATAAAAGATAGCTACGACATGCACTACATGATTTGGAGTCAAAAATATAAAATATAAAAACAAATCATGCAATACCTGTTTAATTGGTAAGTTCATTAGAAACACTACACGTTGTTTACCTAAAATACTAACGGTTTCAAACGTAAAATAAATTAGTTACAATTGTGTACAATAGTTACTCGCGTAAACTACAGACGGTATTTAACACGAACGCTCAAAATTGTTAATTTTTTTAGGTGCTTCGTGCAGCAGAGCAAGCTCACCTGTGGTCAGAATTAGTTTTCCTGTACGACAAATATGAAGAGTACGACAACGCAGCGCTGACAATGATGCAGCATCCCACGGAGGCCTGGAGAGAAGGTCACTTCAAAGATATCATCACCAAGGTAATGTATTAAGTACAATACTCAATTCGGAAAATGTTGTAATTCTTAGAATACAGTTATTGATATGCTGATATTATGACTATTTTAAGGTGGCCAACATGGAGTTGTACTACAAAGCGATACAATTCTACCTGGACTACAAACCCTTGCTCCTTAACGACTTGCTGTTAGTTCTGGCACCGCGAATGGACCACACCCGCGCCGTCAACTTCTTCACTAAGGCCGGTCATTTGCAACTAGTTAAAGCCTACCTCAGGTCCGTGCAGAGCTTGAACAACAAGGCAGTCAATGAAGCGCTTAACTCTCTTCTTATTGACGAAGAGGACTACCAGGTATGTTTGATATTCCTATGGACATTTCTACATGTGTGAGAGTGAGTGGGAGTGTGATATGCGATTTCGCTAAGGTAGAGCTATATTATCTTTTTGTTTCAAGTATTTTCCCCTGTGTGGTGCCGAAACACCAAGACCAACGACCAAAAACAATTATTATTACTTTCGTGCTTAACGCAAAACTATTCTTCCATATTACATGCATTGTTTAATATTATATTTACATGTATTTAGGGGGATATAAATATAGCAGTGTACGATTATTTTCAGGGTCTACGAACTTCGATAGACGCATTCGACAATTTCGACACGATAGCGCTTGCGCAGCAACTCGAAAAACACGAACTCACCGAGTTCAGAAGAATTGCTGCATACCTGTATAAAGGTATTTTTTTAAACTTAAAGAAACAGTTGAAACTCGAATTCTAATTATTCTTATAAAGTAAGTTTTATTTTATTTAATTATAGAGGACAGACAATTATGATGGTAGGCGAAAGGCCCCAGCCAGTAGCCATTGATTATATGCCATATATTGCTACCATTAGACCAATGAGCACGTCAAAAAAGCGATTTATGATTTTTGTGATCAGCGAAGAGTGAAAATAATTGGATTTTGTTACCAGGCAACAATAGATGGAAGCAGAGTGTGGAGCTGTGCAAGAAGGACGCTTTATACGCTGATGCGATGGAGTACGCGTCTGAGTCGCGACAACCCGAAGTGGCCGAAGAGCTGCTCGACTGGTTCTTGGAGAGGAAGAACTACGAGTGCTTCTCCGCTTGTCTTTATCAAGTATGTAGTTTACTATGATATATCAAGGGTTAGGAGTGCATAATAGGTAGTACTTTGTTTAAGATAATAAAATAACTTAATTTAATTTTCTTACATACGATTAGAAAGAACATGAAAAAAACGAATTATTCCAGTTTATCTATATACATAAATTAAATAAAATTTGTTTAGAACCTTAATATAATACCTTAATACTTGTGTTTTTTTGTCATATGTTAAACTATCAAAGACAAAATCAATACTAAAGGCACATTCATCATATAAATGGGATGGCAATATTTTAAATTATAGTAATATATTTTTGTTTAATTTTTCAGTGCTATGATCTTCTGAAACCAGACGTTGTCATTGAATTAGCGTGGAGGCACAACATTATGGACTTTGCTATGCCTTTCCTTATTCAGGTAAAAATTTTAAGCCATTTAGGATATTCCATAATATAGCCATTAAATAATAGTTTATACTAGGAAATATTAATGAAAAAACTTTGTATCAAGAAGTCCAAGTACTGGTGTGGTAGGTACATAAATGATATATAGGAATACTTTTTTTTTGTTTTGTATTTTAGACGGTACGAGAATTAACGACAAAGGTGGAAAAACTCGAAGAAGCCGACGCCAAACGCAGCACGGAGAGCGCTGAACATGAAGCCAAGCCAGCTATGATCATGGAACCACAACTTATGCTTACCGCCGGTAAGATTGTGCCCGGTTGACAACAAATTATGGGGCCATTGGAATTTAGTTTTTAATTTTATAAATATATGACTGGTTGTAGAATTTAGGAAAATTATCTATATGTTTGATCAGTAATTACTCGATTCTCGTTAAAAGACGAATGCAAGAAGGAGAAAATCATGACAAAAAAAAGAGTTAAATTAATTATTATTCTTAATTATATTTTGATAAAACCATTGATTATAATTGTAGGACGTCGTCGCAAAGGATTGCTCTAATATCATATTCTTAATTTGTTTTCAGGACCATCGATGGCATACCCAGGCGTAGCGGCGCAGGCTTCGCCGTACGCGTACGCGGCACAAGCCCCCCTCCCCCCGCGCCCTACCACGGGTACGGCATGTAGGGAACACCCGCCCCCGCCTGGGGGAACTACGCTCACTTCTGAGCGGCCGGCCCGCTGCACGCGACGCAGGGCTAACGAGATTCGTTAAAACGGTGTTTTGTCAAATTCACGATGATCCATTCGATAGCTCATAGATACTGATTGCAATAATTATAGTTGTTCAACTTGTGCCCAAATTCCCTTCGGTCAGACTGTTTACATATTATGTATATGTATTTTTCATTACGAATGATATGTTATAGAAATGCTATAACATATATATCGGGATCGACTTCCGTTTTTAATCTTTAAGTATGACTACAACTCTTACTCATTTTTACACGCGCGAAGACATGTCAATTTGACAAAGCACAGTTAACTTTAGAGCCAAATGTTTTAACTAATCTTTATCGGAGCTCCCGATTATGAGAAAATCTATAAACATATAAAACCTTAATAATTCGCATATAGCGATGCCAGAAGTTGATAGGGTCGTAATTTTTTTTTGAGAGTTGTAGAGCGATATGTGGAAACTATTGAAATCTGGCGTCTATATACTTAGCCTCTAGTTGAATCAAATGATCTTTGCCGATAACGAGAAACGGACTAGAGGTATCTAGCCAAGGTAGGTAGCTACATTGTAGGGCTTACTGTATACTATACCATTTGTTAATGTTATAAATGTCCATATAATCTGTTATCGATACCATTAAATTCTATATGGATTCGTTTCGATCGCTGGTGGCCTAAATATGAGAATCGCCGCGGATTTATTTTTTATTTTTTGGTAAAATTTGGCTGATGTACTGATGGCTTTTTAGTACGAGAACAAAGCGATAAGGCTTCACTTACAGTAATATTCATATGTAGGATGTAATTATTTGAGCTGATTATTTTGTTAATAAAACCAATGTGAAATATTTATCTAAGGCCAATTATAGTGACGCTATGGTAGATAATTTCTAATCAACGTAAGAATGACAAAGAAGAATAAAGAAGCTTATTGTCATGCTTAGAGTCTGTTTCTGCATATTTTAAGTAATTTTTGAGGAAGCTTGACAAAATAAACTTAGCCATCATGTTTTCAGTAAGTTTAAGTATTGGACAGCTAATGATTACATCCTGTATATGACTTAAACCTTATTATTTTTAATATAACTACAAATAATGAGCCCTAACTAAACTTCATTTTCTATTGACTCAGTCAATGTAGCCTTTAATAATGTCGTTGTTTGCGTTGAATAGATTCCACAATATTTTTTACAATTATGTACTAACATTCAGTATTGGTAACTTTTTTGAGATGATTTCAACGTTGCATAGGTTTATACACCGACAAATAGAACTTAATTTATTTATATAATTAACGTTTAAAAATACTTTAATTGCAGTAACACACGAGGTGCATAGGTTGAATTAACTTGTTGTTTAAACTACTAAATCCTATTCAATAATCGATAAATACTTTAGAACAATTAACATTAAAAGTAGTAAAACAGACATAGGCCTGAGTAGCAATAAATAGTGCAATCACTTCGCCAACCGATCGTCTCCAAATCTTCAGTTATTGTTCATCAATTTATATGTACAAAAAATTAAAATTTGTTTCAAAAGTTGAATTTATTGTTATATGTATATAATGCTTACAAAGTAGACGGCGACGCGCGTTTAAAATAAAGACGAAATTTATCACGTGGGATTATATGAAAGTATAATGGTAAATTATTTAGATACGATAGGTTTAGAGTAGACGGAGCTTGTACGGCGTTCATTTAATATAATTGTTTGCAGATGTGTGTTTTGCACGCTTCATCACATCTATAATGCCTTCGTTAGTTTAAGATTATAAATAATTATTGAATTCAACTCAACCAGCGGTGTCTTGGATCACCTTACATTTTATTTTATGACTGAATAAATCCATGTAATCTTACGTAGTTGTAACATTATAATGCGATTTTATTTTGCTATTTTTTATCATTCAAATCATTCCTATTATACCATTTTGTATTGAGCGAGTTTGTTTGGTTTAGTTAATCGTAAATTAATAAATTTAATGAAAATTTGTAGTTAACATTAGTATTGTATTTATTCGTGTATAATACTGTTTCCCTGAATTTTATTATAGTAAGAATATAACATTATGAGAAAAGAACGTCGTTTTTAATTTATTTCCTTTACATCAATTTTATTTCAGTTTAGGAAATGTGGTTAAACTTCATTATTTGTCGGTAACGACGATCCCTTTATTGATCGTTGATATTATTTATTATCTATGGTGTCCTGGTATAGGATTATGTTAAAGGGACATAACTTGCAACAATAATATATATATATATATTTTTCAAAAATTAATAAGACAAGGCGTAAAATTTTCGTTAGTTTGGATGAATTGCAAAATAAACTTTTTATAATTAATTGCAAAATATTGTTTATCGATTACAACTACTCTAATTCAAAGATTACAGATTACGCTGCCCCTATTGTCAGTTGTCAAATTTACCAGTATGTATTTGACAGATTGCAATTGAAGTGATTGAGAAAGTTTCAAAATAAAACCTTTATTATTGTGTATCTAGCAATTTAGTTATGACCTATAAACGTAAAAAATACCATCACGGTGATACGCATTTAAAGAAGCGTTGGCGAGTACGCAATAGAAAGAAGGATTTAGATGAAATCGATGAAGATCTTAAAGAAGGTAAGTTGTCACGATCACATGTTGTCACAAACATTTTAAGGTTATGTGTCTCATACATTTCGTAGACTTAAATCGGTACCTCATTTATTTTTAGAGAAAGCAGAGAAGTTATTAAATCAGGACGTCGATTTAGACCTACCGGGTGCAGCACAACATTATTGCTTACATTGCGCGCGATACTTTATTGACGATCAAGCTTTACAGGAGCACTTCAAAACTAAGGTTCACAAGAGGCGGTTGAAGGCATTAGAATTAGAACCATACACGATAGAAGATTCGGAAAGGGCTGCTGGACTCGGGAACTTTAAATTACCGGCTAAGCGAAAAATTGTTACGCAAAATTCGGAAGTTCTGGATAAAGATGGTGATGTTGTAATAAGTGAAGTGATTTCAAGTAAAAAGAAGAAGCCAAACAATGTTGTTTAAAAATATAATCAATTTTAATCATAAACTACAACTTTGTAAGCATTTCCAGCTAAGATGTTCTGCATTATTTATAAATGGATCAAAGGCAAGCGAGAACTATGCATTTTTAGTACCACACGTTGACTTTCCTGAACAATTACAGCACAAAGATGTTTTACAAAATATGCTGCAGAAAAGACAGTACAAATATGATTTGGATAAGTTAGAAAATCTTTGGGCCATGTATGAAGATTTGAAAAGTCTGAAATTGGAGCAAGAACATAGAAAGAGTCAGTTAACAGAGCAGTTTTTGAATTTAAACAAAGAGAACGCAAGTGATTCTATGGAAAAGTTAAAGATTAAAGTACAACTAATAAAAGAGAATTTAAAAAACCTAAAAGTCCCATTATGGAGTGCCGAAGAAGCCGCTATGGTTGAGGCTCTTAAATTACCAAATCTATTACATTCTCTTACCCCAGAAGGTGAAAATAAAGTTATATATGAATACAAAACTTGCCCAACTGCACAAAAGAACCATTACACCATTGGAATAGAGAGAAATCTTTTGTGCTTTTTGAGAAATAATACACATTACTTAAAAGGAGACGCAGCTGTATTTGAATTAGGGGTCAAATTCTATTTCAGTGAATTTTTACGGAAAAATAATTTTGTACAGTTCTCCAATCCAGACTTTGTAAAAAGTTTAGTTGTTGAAGGTTGTGGTTTCGACCATGCTAATCCTGGTACAACTTTTATCTTAGAGCATACAGATAATACAACTGTGCATCAAGATAAACGCTTACACTTAACGGGGGCAGGATCTTTATGCACTTTCTTGGCATATCATGCCAAAAATGTTATTTATAGCAAAGTTTTACCATTAAAATATTTTTCAATGGGAAGGCAATATGTCCCATCAAAAAGAGACAACAGTTTATTTGATGTCAGTCAGTCTTCGGTAGTACAATTGTTTGCAGTATCCAAAAATAATGAAGAGTTGGAGGAAATACTTAATGAAATCGTAGATATTGTAAAACAGCTGTATAATACGTTTGATCACCATTACCGGTTGTGCTATGTGGCTGCTCATAAGTTACACATGTCAGAATCACTCAGAGTTGGCATTGAAATGTATTCAACATCCTTAAATTCTTATGTGGAAGTTGGTCATATTTCATTAAGTGGAGATTTTTTCAGCAAACGTCTAATGTTTAAGTATACTGATAACAAAGAACATAAGTATCCACATATTTTATCAGGTACAATTCTAAATGTATCAAAGCTACTTGGCTGTGTTCTAGAACAAGACCAAGAATTCTCAGTTCCGGATGTATGTTCACTGAACTTTAAAAAAGGTATTGTTGATACTTTGTAATTGTTTAAATAAATAACATTACCAATATTTTTTTTAATTTATAACAACTACAATTGATAACTAGACTTTTTCCACACTGGATTTGATAAATCAATCGGAGTTTGCATTGTGACTTCTATTAGATTTACTTGCCCCTTTTTTGTGACTAACATAAGAGTGTGTGTTCTGAAACAAATGATTTTAATAATTTAACAGATGATATGGATATGAATACAATAAGGAAAAAATGTTGCAATAAGAAGCACATTAAGACATTTTTACATGTAATCAACTATTAAGAGACACAAGAAAAAAGTCATTTTAAACATCACCTTGTTCCATAACGTACTGGTGGTACACATACGTAAATGGATGAAAACCAATGATAATCCTTTGGCCTGCGCTTTTCAAGAATAGGGTCTGGTAAATGTCTGAAAACGAAATATGTATGTATATTAACATCTTTTCAACTTTCCCTATAATATTTTTAAATTCTATGGCTCAGTAAATGAGGTAGCTTAAAATGATATTGCCTAAATATTGACAGTAGTATGTTCACACTTCATAAGGCTTCTAAAGAAAATGTGTTACTACATAATGTAATTCATTCCACCCACCGTTCATCAGACTTTAACAGTTGTATTAAACTATCTATCAACTTTGGTTTGTCTTCAACGGTTTTATATTCTTCACATAATTTTGCCATCCGTTCTTTGCCAGCAGATACTTTGGTTAAAGGATTATCAGGAATGTTGTTTGAGAAACCAGTGCAGCTTTCTGTCCATGTTTGCAATTTATTTGTAGCATTAGTGTATGTTCGGACAGTAGGTTTATTACCCCTGTAAATGTAGAACTATTTACACAGGTTGAAAAATCAATATGCAACGCAAAAATTCTTTTACCTATTTAATGATTCTTTATTCACAAAACAATATTAATACAAATAAAACTTATATACTAGAATGGAGAACTATGGGTGGCCTTATCTCTAAGAAGCTATCGCTTTCAAGCAATCTAAAATTTTGCAGAAAAAGTCAAAGACAAATGTGATATCAAGGTGGCCGAAACAAATTAATATAAAATTTAATAACTACACAATCTTAAAAATAAAAACATTCATACATTGTAAGCAGGGACTAAAAATTCCTTACCCAATCTCTACTGTAACAAAAATAAACCCATTACAATTATCTCCATAATGTCTGATTAATGACACATAGTCATCTAAAGGATTATTACTCTTCATATAGTCTGCTATTATTTTGCCTCTACCTTAAAAAAAAGAAAGCATATAGCTTTGAAAGTGCAGCATTCTTTCCCATATCTTATCTTCTATAAACTACAGCAATATATTATGTGTGTACTAGTACTCTTCTTCACCTTTTTTTCCTTTCTACTTATATTTTACGGAATGTTATACTCAGAGGAATACTGCATACTTAAAGATGGCATTTGTTTAATGTAACACTTGTTTAAGTGTAATATATAAAAAGCTCACTTTTGGGTTTTTCTCTTTGTACATCTGGATAATTCAGCAACAATCCAACCTTCTTTTGGGACGAAGAATAAGCTAACCAAGTGCTTATGCCGTCTGCTCCTAAATCAATACCTGTAAAAATTCCAAAGGAAATAGACCAGAAAGAAAAATTGAAAATTATCTTTTTTATCTAGGTGAGTAGATGGAGTAGCTTTCTACTATATACTTATACTATACTATACATTGCTTATTTCATACATTCTCTGTTCAGTCTGAGTTATAGAGATGTGCTAATTTAAGTACAGTTCCTTTTTCTTTGCCAATGAATCCTGTGTAGATTTTTAGTACTACATATATATCAAAGAACAATACATGAAGAAATGTACATGACATACCTCCAAGAATATTAGTATCATCATGCCATGGTGCCATATGTAATGTAAGCCGATCATAAAACTCATCTCTATTTGATGCTAATATTAAGCTGTAATCACTTTCTGGATCATCATATCCATTATATATAAAAACTATGCACATTCTTTTTAATTTTTTATGCCTGTATATAGCTTTACCTTCCCTAGGTATCACTTATATACCCAGAAAGATTATCTTTCCAATAAAAAACAAAGCCAGACTTTGCCCAGACAGTTTAAAGATTGATAAATTTCTTGGTTCATTACCAAGCAATTCTCTTATCTACGAGAGTCATAGTCACCTACAAGCTTAGTTGTTACCAAGGAGTTATATTATATAATATATTATCAACTATACATAAATCTCTCATCGAGATTTGCCTACAGCTTATTTTACTGTTGTCCTAACCATATGGTGTCCCTATGAATAAAAAATTCTATAAACAGTGTAATTTTTGTGGAGAATGTAGTTATAAATTAAATCTATATGAAGGAATGCTACATTTTAGTTACTTGTGTACTTTATTAGATTATCCCCTTGAGTTTGAATAAACCACAAAAAACCAAATGTCAATTTCGAAAAACAGCTGATCACTCAGCTAATAATAGACAAACAAGCCGTAGACGATTTTGAAGTACGTGTTAGAAACAATTTTGATACGAAGAAGAAGTATAAGGTCACCCTTCTTCTTCTTCTGAATCTGATGGCGACTTAAACACTCTAAAAGTACTTGGTGAACTTGACAGTTGTCACAGGAAATGTCTCCATCCGTCATCTGTGACAAGCGTCAAAGATTATATATTCTGCTTTTCTTAAGAAATGTTTTCATAATTTATATGACATTATGTAAAATGTTATAATTATTGACGAATTTTTCTAACTATAATTGTGTTATTATAAACAAATTTGCTATATTGCAGTGTATTTATCATTACATTCAAACTTAGATGCAGTTATGATTCAATGTAGTTTACCGTTGTATAGTTTACCTGTAAGTTAAATCACTTACAATCTAATCATAATAATTGTTGCAATTCTTAAGTTTTGTATATATTAAAAACCTATTATATAGTTCGTAGATTCGGAGCACACAGAACTTAGCCTATGTAGACGAGGCAATGAATTTGATATTCACAATCCATTGGCGTCAACTAGTGCTTTACTGGGCAGTGATGATGTCCTTGCTCAGTTTCTTACGGATGGTCCTCTCGAAGAACCAGACCTTAACGGGCCAACAACTTTGCACTGCGAAATATGCAAAAAGAAGTTTGACAATGCCAAGAAATATTATGGCCATCTACGAGTACATTCAAAGGACAATCTTTGGACTTGTGGTAACTGTACTTTTACTATATATTTATTTGTCATAAAGCAATGTAGTGCCTGTAGTGTAATTGTTTAATTAAGCTAATAACATTAATTTATATACATATGTTATTAATATATTATGTTGCCTTTTGCACAAAATAAGTAAAAAATAATCAACACAAAGAACACCCAGCAATTAGAACAGTGTCTCGCAAACTTTTTTAGTCTGCGGCACGCTAACTGATGATTTTTTTTTCCGCGGCACACTAAGCTAAATTACATTATTAAATACGTTGAGTGGGGGAAAAACCACGCCTAGTGCTTTTCTAACCAACTTGGCCCTCCCTTGTGCATCTTGTTGTTACGAAGTACCTGCGTTCTGGGTTTAGTTTTTTGGTTAAAGTTAAATTATTACTTTTTGGGGTAATTTTATAGTTATCAGAAATTGGTTTATAGATTAATCTCAGAATATCTAGTGCAACTTGGAAAATCGTTGCGGCCCCACTTAACATTCTCCCGCGGCAAACAGTTTGCGAACACACAAGAATTAGAACAACATTAAATTTTTTACTCTTTACAATTATTTTTAATAATCTACCATTTTTTTTAAGAATTTGTAGCCAGCAGCCTTCATGATTATGCAATATCTTCACTTTTTTTTAGATAATTCCATTTAATAGTAATTTTACCTATTATTTCAGATAAATGTCCAAACCAGAAGTTTTCAGTTAAGCAAAACCTAATGAAGCACAGTCTTACACATAAACCACTAGCAAGAGTATGGAAATGTCCACAGTGTACTATGGTCTTTGAGGCTCTGTGGCGTCTTCAACAACATCTTTTTGCTAAACATCTGGATTATAGGTAATAGGATAAACCAAATCAGTATTTGTCTTTACATTCTACTTTCTTACGTTCCATGAAGCCAATTCTACAGACTCTAACTACTTATATTTCAGACCACATAAATGTGACCTGTGTGACAAATCTTTTTTGAAAGCATCAGATCTGAAGAAACACAAAGATGTACATGATGGTAAGAAATTGTAATCTTTTGTCTTAAGTGCAATAAATATTTTTCTCATTTTTTACATTTTTAAGAGTATAAATGTATTACTAGATAATTTTATAGGTGTTTACTACTTTTCTTGTACAAAGTGTAAGAAAAAATTTAAAGATAAATCTAACTTGAACCGTCACATGGTGTGTCACACAAAGGAGAAAAAATACAGCTGCACGGGATGCCAGAATAGATACACTCAGGTAATATGTTTTTTTAATTATACCTTGTAGTGTTTGAAGCAATTTTTAGTTTTTTATGAATACATTTTCTGCTTTAAATGTTACCCAGAGTACTAATAAAGACTCATCATCTGAATTTTTTTGGACATATGTAAATAATATCATTGTAACAATATTCAGAAAGTAATTGTAATAATTCAATTTCAGCTGGCAACTCTAAAGCGTCACCAAAAAAGATGTTCCAAATTTGTAGATACAACTCAAGATAAAACAACTAGAAAAAATCATTGCAGAGAATGTGGTATGTCTTTTCAGTACAAAAGTGCTCTACTGGAACATTGTGTCAGGTAAGTTTCATTAAATAATCAGTGTTACCAAATCAATTTTTATTAAACAAACATCTTAGAACTACCTTCAGTAACTCAGGTTATTATGCATTAGAAATGGTTAGCCTTAGGGACGAACCCCGAGAAATTGAAGTACACTGAGTTTTGAGGCTTAGGAAATCTTAGTTTTCTTGCTTGCCAATCAGTCAATCACAGGATAAGTCAATATAACTAAATAAGAACATTTAAATAATTAAAGGCTATGTTTGTCTGCATAAATTAAATTAAAATACTAATTAGATTAAAAGAATTCAATGACACAACTGCTGCTCTAACGATGGTACCATGTGTGTAAGAGACGTAATAGTTTAATTTGTTACAGTAGTAGCCTGGACTGCTGCTGGATGCCATCAATTTAAACTTGTAAAATCATTCTAATATCTAAAAATCTTGTATCATGTAAAAAAATATAGTTTCATTATGTATTAATTTATTTAATTATTATCAGACAACACAACAAAAATGGTGGAGCCGCGGATAAACAAAACAACATTGACTCGAATAAAACGGAAGAAAATATCGTCGATGACATTCTATCTGCAGAAGACGATTACATGACCATGTCAACGAGTCACGAAATATTAAACAATTATAGTGCACAGACATATACAGATGGAAATACAGATGATTATTTAATGCAAATCGAATTTTTAAAGGAAATGAATCAATTGCATTCTCTAGACGATGAACTTTTGTACAATGATTTGGATTTAGACAGTTTGCAGAGCAGTCAAATATTTAATATGAATAGCGATATAGATTATACTTGCAACAGTGGAATACAATTTGATTATACTGGCAAAACTATTGATCAAGACGTGCCCACTGTGTATCAAACGAAAAATGATCTACCAGATGATCTATTCAACATGAACACATTTCCCGAGAGACCATTACAGGCCGCATTACCAGAATGCGCTACGATTTTTGAAAGCGACGTAGACTTAGAAGCGAGTACTAATTTAGCTGAGAATCTAAATCAGTTGATTGGGGAACATTCCGTACAGTACATTTCTACCGAAGACGATGATACATTTATTATAAGTCTCAACAGTGAGATAGATGCAGAAAAATTAACAGATATGCTCAATATTGGTGTGGAAGTTAAAGATGATCAAGTAGAAAGTACTGCAGCCAAAGCGGATGAATCACTTTTGAACAATATAATACCAGTAATCATTAAAGTTGGTGATGAAAAGTCAAACTTAATAAAAGATAATGAGAAACCAAAAGATAGGTGTAAGAAAACTGCTGAATTTGTTTGTAAAACATGTAATAAAGTTTTTACTAAGAAGGATAACTACAAGTCCCATATAGGTAAGTCTTTATTTGTTTGTAAGAGTAGAATGACGCCGAGAATTCTAAAGTATATTCAATGTCACATGTTAATAAAGGGTACACAGAAATGTCAAGTTAGATGAAACAGTTAATCATTCATCACGTCAACAAATCAGTAAAATTCAAGTTTCATATCCTTGTTCTTTGTAAGTGAGTGTGGGAAAGAGACAACGCTCTACTCACTCGTTACATTCAATAAAATTAGAATATCTTGAATGTAAGTCGTCCTCTTTAAAAATATAGTTTTTTATTATGTTAATCAGTATAAAATATATGTCTGTTAAGCAATCCACAACCCGTCGTTACGTCGTCACCGGTGCGAGGTGTGTGGACAGCGGTTTGGGTATCGCTCGACGTTGAACAAACATCGTGCGTCTGCGCATGAGCCGCGCACGTTAACTGCGCACACGTGTGACACGTGCGATAGGCACTTTTCTGCCGCTTGGATGGTAAGTTTGGATACACACTTAAGACATTACGACGACTGGATAGCTCAAAATGCCAAGTAGAGCTAAAGACTAATAAATGTATTAAGATATACTTATATCTTAATCGTTATATTCAGACTCTATAGAGAATCGAGAGAGATAATCTGTTGACCTGTTAATATAGAGTTAATTTTAAAGACGAGTATATTATCTGTGGATTAGTCAATACTGAAAGCGTTTTACTTTTCAGTTGAAAGACCACATAGATCGTGATCACAAGCAGGTAACGCGTTACACTTGTGACGCGACGGACTGCGGCAAGAAATTCTTTAAGAAGTGTGACCTCGTCGTCCATAAAAGGTAGAATAACAATCAATCCTTAACATAGATTTCAAATAAGCAATTGCTTTTTTTCAGTGATTATAATTGATTTCAAAAATATTATTACAATAAAGAATAATCAGAGCATATTCAGTTAAATTTATTATTAACCACTATCTAACGGTTCGAATGCCTTGCAGATAGAAAAAAAAAGAAAAGAAAATAAACGTTCTCACAGTTGGTATTTAAATATAGATGGCGCTAGTATAGCAGAATGTACTTTGACGTTACGGTTATCCTCAATCTTCAATCCCCTTGTGACCATGGCTGTTGGAAAGCATTCGAAACGACTTCTGTATTAGCTAAATTGAGAATGTTGACATTTTTTTTATTTTTTAGATTGCATACCGGTGAGCGGCCATTTTCCTGCGATATCTGTAAACGGCGTTTTCCTCACGTTTCACACCTCAAGCGCCACGAACGGAACGTCGACTGCACTAAAAGTATGCTATTTCTGTATTTATTCCAAATAATATTGCGTATTTATTCTTTACTGATAGTATATTGGGGTTCCTTATCAATTGATTAGATATTTTAAAACTTTAATATTTTTCTGGCTTTGGAATTGGTTGATGAGGTCGATGGCTCTATATAATCTATAAATCGAAAAAAAAATTAGAAAAGTTTTTCGACTCGGGCAGGACTTGAACCGGCATCGTCAGCGATCCGTGCTGTTGCTCTACTAAATGAGCTACCGAGTCCTAGCTCCTCATTTGGTAGAGCAACAACAATTTTTTTTTATATTTTTAATCTGTTTTGATTATTAGTCTTTATTAGACCTATAAGCAAATTCGTGCAAGAATGGTGTGCTAGTGCATAATGTCTCATCAGGAAGTTTATAATTATTTAAAAATAATATTAGTTCATTCGTGATCAGACAAATATATTATTAACTATAGTCGACGCGAGATTCTGAAATGTTAAAACAGTTTTATAAGTAATACTATACGTATATATTGATAAACTATGCAATTTTATTGTTGATTATGTCAATATATATTATTTATTGTTACAGAAATAGCTGGACCTACGTCTACTCAGTGAAAACAACGTTTTTTTTATGCTTTTTAGTTTGTACGTTTTATGCTACCTCGCATGTATTATTAAAAAAATAGTCATGTTCAAGAATGAAGTAAACGAGTTTTATTACCTACTTCCTTAAGTAATGCACGTAACGCAAACAGTCGTATGTAAAATACAAAAATAAAAAATATGTTTATTATCTCTCTCTCAATAATAAAATTACACCTGGTACTGAGGTGATCCAATAAGTTTATGACTCACTTGTGTTGGAGTAGCCTCGCTCCTTCCCGTGTTACATTAAAATTGAAATTTTTTTTGTTGGTTAACCTCAAACTTGCGTCTTGCGTCACAAGTTTTTCAATATTTGACTCAGACGGAGATTTATTCAAATTTATATCCACCATAGTACTAGGAGCATATGAACAATAGAGAGTAAATTCTGTGTCAGCAAAATGCCAACAAGTCAACGGGGGCGTTACCAACGATTCACTTGCACCAATGTGTGGGTGGAGCTTCGTGTATCAACAGTTATCAGAGTTCAGCCAAAGAAGCTGCGCTGATCTCAGGGTACATTATCGCCTACCGATGATGTCACACGTAATAAACGAACATCACTTGCAAACTTCTGGGACACTAGTGTTTTGTTATATCTGTTACAATTTGACTTTATTTTATTTCATTTTGCACTTCCCCGCTTACCGCAGTGCTAACGTTATGCTTGAACGGCACATATATCAAGTATTGTTTGTAGGATTCATCGCGAAAATTAAAAACTAGATTTATAAAACATTGTAAAAATTTAAAAAAAGTTTTACTCAAAAAAATTGTTAACTAAATTATTCTTACAATGCGAACACAACGAAAAAAAAATACGATAAAATTACGTTTTATTTGTCACGTGTCCTCTTCGCATTCTTGTATCTTCATATGCTTCATGAATGACTCCAGGTTATTATCGCTGTTCATTAGGCTGTCAAATGTGTGGTGGTTGTTGTTCAGCTGAAATGAAAAAGTAACGATTGTTCATAAATGAAAGTGAATTCTTTAATTTTAACTTATTATAACTTTTTCCCTAACCTAACCATGGACGGCACCTTCCTGGCTTAGATTCAGTATTTTTTAACAGACCATAAATTGATCAGACTTTCAAGCCTAAAATCTTTATTTTGATCAGGTGCGCGTGCGCATAATGCTGGGTAGTGATATCTATGTATCATATTTCAGAGTATCGGATTGGATGTGCCAGTGCTACAGATTCATTCTTTTAAATAACGTTTAATATTGATTTTGAACTTAATAAACTAATAATTATTATGAATAATACGTACAAACTCTCGAACCCATTTTGAGAGGTGTTCGTTATTTCGAGGATCCCTAAAGCGCGCGTCGACCAGCAATACTGCGCCCCAGTCGTTCCTATGTCTGACACATCGGCCCACGGCTTGATTCAGTGCTCTAGAAGACAATTAAATTGTTTAAAATATTTTTACTCGCTATGTAGTTTACCATTAAAAATATAATAATATTGCAACTTTGACGGGCTAGTTATTATGTATGGCTAATAATCAACGGGGCGTGAATCCGATTCCCATCGGGCCTAATATTTTTCAAATCAATTTGTGTGGAAATCTGGGTATGAAATGGTTGGTAGGATTATCGAAATTCCGTCACGAACCACCCTCTACGAGCGAAAAACGTTCAGTCGCATTTCGGTTTCAGTCAGTGAATTTCCGAATATCCAAAGCAAAAAAAGGTCGACAGCGCATCTTGTTTAACTGTTATAGGACTGGGGTATTTCACCTACCATTAAGTGAACCGTATGCTTGTCTGTTCTCGTCTATTATAAAAAAAGTGCAAGAACTGCAACTCACCTAAAAGCCTGAACTCGCAGCCAATCATAACCGGAGAGCAATTTTCTGGACTGCATATACTTATCGTTGTACTTCATTTTCTCCTTCACAGCCATATCGAACGTATTAGGAAATGGTATGCCAATCTGCAAGGATCAACAAAATGTATTGCTTATTTGTGGTGGGCATAGTACTTAGTAATTAGTTCTTTAACAATGGCACTTATAAAAAAATTTTAGAAAAGAGAAGAGAAGATCTTACAGACTCGTCGCATAAATCTATCGATATCGTAAAATATACCGTGTATCGTCTACTGCGCTAGCGGTTATGTTCGTGCTTCTAGTCTCTTACTAGTCTAGCTTTTGTGTCACATAATTCCTAGAAATATATAAAGTAACGTACAGTAATCACGGCGCGTGCCTGGTGGTCCTTGAAGTCCATTCCTTCCGATACTTTGCCTCGGTACACGGCGAACAGCAACGCGCCCCGGGGCGACGCGGCACATTCGTAGTAATCCTAAAAGTAAGTATTGCTTGTTGTTTACGAGTGATGTATTTAAATAAAATACCAACGGTTTGAATCGCAAAATATATAATAGGCGACTTAAAATACATTTTAAGTACGGCTTGTTCCAGACACTTGCAGTGACCGTGGTCCCATGTGTTGTTACAAGTGCTGTTTTTTTTATCCAATAAGTAGCTAATGATTTAACGCACTTTATACAAATCTTGTGCAGACAGCTCCACCTAGATTCAAGGTAGGGATTTGGCAGCTAATGTGAAGGGTCCACAACTTAATAATAGTCATATTTTACCTCCATAATCTCGTTGTGATCTCGTACGTTTCGACTTTCTTTGAACACTTGTTTTAAATTTTCCAATTTTCTCCATACGTTAGTTTCACGCCAACTGTATAAAAAAGAATACCGTTTTGTTGACCAAACGAAAAACAAGACTCTGAATGCAAGATCGATAGCGTGATTAAAAAAGTAACAATTTCCTTTTTCTTGCTAAATAGTACCAATGTCTCCTTACGTTTAAAGCAACCAATTACCGTTTAATAAGTGTGTTCATGAGACCGTATGAAGGTAAGAAGCAAAGTACGCCCGACGGTGTAGCCCTACATACGTGTAGCACAGTCTCACCCAGCGCGTCCTGTATGTGCACCTGTTGAGTATTCCTGTTCACGCAATGGAGAGGGCTGCCATCAGGACAAGTGGATAAACTACCTATCCAAACCTGTAATAAAAATATATGGTCAAATGTGGTGTTATAATTAATAAAGTAAAATAAATGAAACATCCGGCTCGAAGGATCAAGTCTAAAATATTTACGTATAAATATTTAAATTTATTTAATTACAAAAATACATAGATATATTGTACTGGTAATTAATGTAATAAATGTTTAAGAAATTCTATATATATCGAGAGTCGAATCCCACCCCTTAAGACATAAAAATAAGTAGGATCAATCAGAACTTATTGTGATTAGTTTTTTGACGAAAAAAGAATACGTCTTTTTATGTAGATTATTGTTAATTCTTATACCTACCCTGTCACTTGAAATCACGTGTTTCGGGCTGACTTGAAGAGGGAACTCCGTCGCAAGTTCAGAATGCATACTGATTAATGGAGTAAGGGTCCCCGAAGCTATGATGATGCATCGAGTTGATTTTAGCGCCTCGAAGATAATCGCCGGATTCATGCACAATAATTTAAGTGATAATGTTTCTTTTTCTGCTGTCTGGAAGCAAGACGAAAAATGGATTATTAAATATAATATTATGTTCATTGTTAAGACAATTTTTATACATAATAGTTAATTCATCTCGCCTAAGTTGATTGCGCAGTTTTTCGTCCTCCTAATTGGAAATCAGGTTTCGCTGTTATTAGGCCACTCTGCCCCCAGCAGTCTCATATATGCGTTGTTTCCCTACGTGGATAACTGTACAATCGTCTTGCATATAACAAAAAAATTAAAAAGTGGTTTCGATCGATAAGAAAAGAACTTACGCGTCTATTGTTGGAGTACCGCCAGGCTGAATCGTCATTCTCATCGACAACGGTACGAACGAGCGCAGGAACAAAATCGTCGATATGGCGGCCTCCCTCCCGAAACAAGAATCCTGCAAATTATTTTATCATATATGCATATTATATATTTTATTCTTCATGCACCTTAAACACGTGGATGTACGATACTTAATTAAACTTTTAAGGATTTGATTACGAGGCTATCGTGGCTACTGCAAAGCATTCGAAACGTGGGGTTGTAGTTAAAGTAAATTAGAAATAAATAAACTGATAAAAATCACGTTTTAAACCATGTAAAATGCTTTTTTTCAACTAAGGAGATACTGCCGAATTTCCTAAAATTCATAAAATTTTGAGTAAATAAATTAGCGTCTAAGGCACTTTTAAACTAATGTTCTGAGATTTACATAACATACCTAGGACAATGTCGATGCTCTCGATAAGAGTCCCGGTAGATTGCGTGACACCTAACAGAGTCCGTGGGTCCTCGCGTAGCCGACGCAGGAACATTTCAGCGTGATCGCGAAACTCTGTTTTGTTACAAATGAAGGTAGCATATATACATCAATTTGGTGTTTTTATAGGATTAGATCTCAGGCGTTTAATATTTGAAATGGCCTTTAAAATACCAAGTACCTCGGTTTTCTATTCCATAGCCGCTAACCTAGTCATGTTCAGCACAAATTGGAACCCAAGACTTCTCGCTTCTATGACACGAGTTATTCATTTGGTTGCGTGGCTTATAGTTATTCATGAATATTACAAACAAAATATGTAATTATAATTTACTTAAAATAATAGAATGACTACGGAATAAAATAAAGGACCACCTACCTGTATAGTGTTTGAGTCCAATGTTGTGATTGTCCAAGGTGTTAACGAAATATTCGACCGGCCAAGTGTAGACAGCTTCGTTGTTGTTCACAGGGCAGTTCTTGATCAAGGGCGTTTGGTTAACGAACCTAAAATGTGTTAACTTTATTAAACAGTATTGAATGAGTAATCAAATTTAAGATGTAGACTGGAAATGTATCAAATGACTGACTGTATGGCGGAAATTGAAATGCTCTTTACCAACTTTAAAAGCAGCTCAATTGACTACACCTTCCGTTAGAGTTTACTCTATATTTTATACTGTTAATTTGAAATTACGTATTGCAAATCGTTAACTATATAAATGTGAAAGAGTTATTAATGAATTTAATTACAAATATCACAAGAATCATTATCATTGATAAGATACATTATTATAAAATATTATAATTTAAATCACCTTACAAGTTAATCTATTCCAAGCAATATGTTTTATAGGCTATTTTTTACTATAATATGTGTATATTCATTGTTCACCGAAGGTACTAGGTCTCACCGAACTCCTAGCAAAAGCTAGATGATTCAAATAGCAACCTTTAGCTTTCGTCAACATAAAGTTACTAGTTTGAAGAGTGTCTCATGCGAAATCACGAACCCCTTTGCATGCTTAGCTTTCCTCTACAATTTGGCGATCGTGGCGCCCTCTATGCCAACGTTTTTTAATTTAATTACTTATAGTAAACAACGCATCAACGCTTTGCTATAGATAGCCAATTATATTAACTTTTCTCACCATTGGTCCCAACTGTTGAGCACCTTCAACAAGAAGTCGATATATCCCGTCGAATCCTGGTTGGCGTAAGTAAATTGGGACACCTTTTGAAGTTCCTGGAAATTAGGGCCTTGGAATAAGGAATTGACGTTTTTATCTTTCTATTGTTAGTTCTTTTATTAGGTGGTTTTATAATAATAGTTTAAATTAATATTATTTATTGGCGGGCAAAGTATTTATCTATCTTTTTTTTATCATTTCTTTCTTATTGTCCACCTACATCTTTATGGCAGACGAGAACAGCCAAGCAATTACTTGACGGTAGGTATACCTTATGATAGGAAGACGATGCCCAAAGCCTCACGATTGACATTCAGAAATCCTTACAATCGAAACGTGAAGTGAATTAATTAGACTTAATTTATCTGTGGATTGTGGTTCGTTTCGACGAAATCTCAAATATTAAATTTATTGAATGTGAAATTATAATTTTTTTTAAATGTTGGGTCTGTTGGAAATCGAACCCACGAATCGATGTATTATTTTATTGCTTATACATAGTTTGCATTGTTCGTCGGCCCTTCAAAAAGTCTCATATAAAACACGAACTTAAATAAGTGGTGTTATACTTACAGAAATCGCAGTGCTGACCTGCGCACGAGTGATGATATACGTCGCTGCGTCGCGACACACGTCCTCTATATTGTGTCCTTCGTCTATTATTACTATATTGTCTGTTACGTCGATTTGCATCTGAAAAAAATACGTAAATAATATAAGCCTTGGAAACTTAAGTTCACCGTTCTTGAGCTACGGGACGGAATGTTGTGGATGCCAGTTCAAGTCTTGCCCGTGTCGTAAATGTTTTTCCATTTGAAATCGATTTTTAATTAATAAAAATATGATGATGACTTGAAATAATTATATGAAACACGTTTCATATTTAAGAGCAATTATGCAACCTAGCATTACTTAACATAATCTTAATAAAATTTATCTTTAATAATTTAATCAATAAGTCAAAACTTATTTCAACTTGTTTTGCCAACTCTACATGGATACTTACACTGCTCCTAATACCGGGTTCTATCAGATAGTTGTACGGACAGAAGACAATACTCGCTGCCGTGGCCATTTCTCTAGCGGCATAGTAGGGGCAGGCCTGTTTCTGCTTTCCCGCGGCGACCAAGTCTTCCAAGTCGAAAACAGGCGGCATCGTCCTGTGGTTGAGGGCTTTTCGTTTTTCGTAGTAAGTACAGTTGGATGACTCTTTGCGAGTGCTTTCAAATGTCTGAAAGTGATAATAGCTAAGTATTAATTTCTTTGCTTGTAATTGCGTTAAGAACGAGAGGTCCTGGCTTCGAATACCGGGGAAAATAAATGTTTCGGTCGCCTCGGCACAGTAATCTCGCCTGTTAACAAAATTTATCAGCGGAATGGACACAGAAATGGTCCTAACATGGAAGTTGGCCCCACACATTCCCCACAAGGGGAAACCAACAATAGCTAAATATTGAGTAGGTATGATAATTATTTTGAATAGAGATATAGTTACTAAGTACTACTTATATTATTAAACAACTCAGCTATTTCTGTTGCAGCGATTACATCAAATATTTAAGACTAGAATAAAATAAAAATTATTATTTTTTTAAATTAAAGGTAATTTCAAAGGGCGCTTAGTAGTATACGTAAAGCCATAAAAAAGAAAAAATGTTTTTTTTTGTTTATTTAATGTTTTTTTTTCTCTTTATGTTATTGTTAACTATTTTAATATCAACATTTTGAGTTTTGTTTCGGTCTATATATACTGTAATCCCTTCGAAAGTCAAGCATGGGCCATAACTGAAAACCGGTGTCCCTCCACATACATCTATTGTATTATTGTATGTGTGGAATAAATGATTTCATTTAAAGTTAAGAAACTCGCCTCGCTCTTACCCTAACACATCCTCTACACATATCGTTCTTGGAAGCCCACTGCGCCCGGTCGAACTCCCGAATGCAGCTGTATTCGCGGCTAGAAAGAACGGTCATGGGCGCGTCTCTCGTGTACACGGTCCTGGCGAACTCCTTCACCACCTGCTCGATCTGCTTGTGCGTCCTGGCCCCGTAGAATATTGTCGGAAGTCTGGAAGCAACGAGCATGGACGTCCTTACGCGCAGGTTGTCGATAAGAGAATACAGCTGTCTGTAATAACCCACAACCCAAACTACAGATCTACATGCAAGTCTATAATATATACTTATATACAAAAAAAAACAATATTAATACTAGTTATGGTAATGTAGGGCTTTACGGCTATAGAGCATAGAGGGATCTCTTACAGGCAACCCTTGTTTGATTATAAAATTCGATATGCTTATATATCATAGGAACATGCAGGTCGTGCGAAGCTTAAGAATGAAATAATAATTATAGGTAACTAATATTGCAAACATAGTTAACAAAGACGTCTCAAGTTTGGAGAAAAGAAATTTAAAAAAAATATGTACCTATAGGTACAGGGATGGTTAATAGATGACAGTGATGATACGAAGCGAATGGAGAACGGGAGCAAATTGCTAAACTTATGTATTGTGTGTTATTAAATTAAAATGAAAGAAATTTAACGAGGATATTATAATGTAAGATACCAATTGGATACAAAGGATTCTTTAATAGGATAAATGCTAAAAAAAGGATTTATAAAAAAACCTGTTTATTTTTTCGAACTAAACTTAAAAATAGATATACATTTAAACTCTATAGCTGTCATTTAAAAAACTTCTAATCTACTGCAGTATCTACACAGCTTATAAACCAATAATAAATTAAAATTAGTTAAATAAATAACCCATACAATAAAACGAATGAGGTTCCTTACCGAACGTTCTCCGGAGTCTTAGGTTCTGTCTGGGTTATCTGTTTTTCTGGTGTGCTTGGTAAACATGGTGAGGAGGACCCGCTTCCTAAACGGGGCTTTTTGTGTAGTTTGACGAGAGATGATGGGGAATCACCTAGCGAAAGCGATATGCATTTATTACTATTGATGTTTTTTTTAATTAATTTTGATTACGACTTGTTTCGAATGCTTTGTAGCAGACGCGATCATGAAGGCAGCCGTGATAACGCCGGGCCGCAGTTAAGATAAGTTCATTATTATATTTCGCGTTTAACTTTTAAACCTTTAAAAGGTTTTATTAATCTCACGTAAAATACAGACAATAAGGGATTATTAAATTTGTTGTTTTCCTTTTTTCCGTTCCCTACATTCTTGTCCAATAAGTATTCTGCCTAATTAGTTAGAAATTAATGGACTACAAATCTAAATTGGTAAAATTCGACTTGAACCGGTCTAACCAATTAAGCTTCCGTGTCAAAAAGAGAAATTATACTCTAAAGTCCCCCTCATCCATAATCCATGGAAAGTAAAGCATTGTGCATCAAGATGATAGCTCCGCTAGGCACCAGGCGCGCAGCGGCGAATGGGAGCGCTGATCCAAAATGGCGGCGCTGACAATGACGCCATTAGGGAGATTAAGTCGTCGCAGGCGTCCGCTCACCCTAATGAAAGTATTGAGCTGGGTCCCGGGGACCGCCCTATTGACTTGCAGCCACCGTGCATTGCGGAATGCTCAAGTATTTATTTCTTCTAGGCCTAACGTAATCTAAGCTGAGTGCGCTCTTGAGGACTGCGCTAATATCTCTCGCTTTGTTCGTATGCAGTGCGTCTAAACGACATATATTAAAGTACGCCTTTGTGATTCACTTCAGCGTATAATTCTTCGGTGCGCATATCTTGCGTTTATATTTATGAGTGCTCGTTTGTGCAGTTTTATACGTCATGTTATTTTTTGTTGTTCATCTACTATTCCTTCGTTTTAAACAAGCCTAGGCGTTACGTTACTCAGTCGGGCTTTAACAACTAGCGCCACTAAATTAATGGTTACCGGGACCTATCTACCGGAACTTCACTATGAAATGACTAAATTTAGAAAAATACAAAGTCACTTAGTATTGAAGTGTTAGTACTTTAAAAATTAATACGTCCCGATAAAACACGTCTATCTTTTGTAAAGTGATAAAAACTTAACTTGTATGTTTCGCCGTTTTAAACCGTTGAAAGTTTATTATTGACTACTCGCTAGTATTGCGAGTAGTCGATAATAAAGTACTTAATATAAGAGAACTATTACTGACCTTCTGAACTGTCACTCGGAGGATCCTGTCGCTTACAGTTAGTTTCGTTCTTTTCATTGCTGTATATGCTCCTCTTCTCTGAAATATATAGTTAAACATATTATCAACCTCAATACAGATAATGTTTTCACAAAGTAGGTTCCTATTGACACACATAGTAGAACAAAATTAAAACATTGTTTATATTAGACAAATATCGAAACACAACAACGAATTATTTAACCATTAAAATAATTAATTTATTATTGTTAATGTTATTTATACTTTATTAATTCCTAACTCAATAGTCAAGGATAGATATTTTCTTTTTTTATTTATATTAGCACTATTTTTACTGCAACTTATACCGCACCGTATATTAGGTTATTTTAAAAGGATAATATTAAGTACTTACATATCTTCTTTCTGCTTTATATATAACAAAAAACTAAAAATACTGTCTATAGTTTACGCGAGTAGTACACATTTAAATAAAACACTTTAACGGTTTAAAACGCGATATATTAGTTAAACTTATTTAAAAATGATTTTTAACTTCGGCCCGACGTTTCGGTTGCTTTGCAGCAGCCGTGGTCACGGGGAGACATCATTCATCACAATCATTTTCAAATAAGTTTAACTAATATATCGCATTTTAAACCGTTAAAGTGTTTAATATAAAAAAACTAAAAGTTATTAAAAAAGTAGTATTAAGACGTCGTATATGACCTTTATATTTAAGAAAAATAAGGCCTAGGTATTTGAATATCGCAATGAGATTAAGATATACCTTTATTGTGATAAAAACCGGACGTGTCAAGTTCTCAAACTGTCAGAAGATAAATCAAAATCGACAATCTCATAAAATCGGTTTGTCTGTCTTTGTGTAAAAGCTTTATTCTAAATGCTCGAGTAGCTATTTCGTAAAGCTATTGTTTAAAAGGGATTGGTTACATTTCTTGGCATTTCAAAATCCCGATTCGTCGCCGGTAAGGGCTAACATATTTTGGTGTGTATATCCGATGTTCGGTTAAGACAATTTCTCGTTTCCCCGGTATTCGAACCCAGGCCGTCTCGTGCACAGCGCAACAAAGTATCTGCCCACTTCAAAAACTCAGACATGAGTGTTATTTAGAGGCGTTCCATTAACATACAAATATATTCCAAAGACTCCGTATCTGTGACTCAGAAAGATAAAAAATTCTTATCACCATAACAGTTGGATACCGGTAAGTCGTGCTAGTGTTATATCATAATTTTATAGTCATTGTCGTGTACAACTAAAGATGGAGGATTTCTTGGACAAACAATACATTCTGGTGAGCAGCGAGAACTTCGAGGATTATTTAGTGTTTTTAGGTAAGTTTTAATAAATAGTTATGTTTTGGGTGGTTACCTACAATTCAATCTCTGCAATGTTATAAGATAAATTCTTAAGTAATTACTTTCAACAAAGAAAGTATCTTTATAGAGTCGGTTTATAGAACACTAGCTGACCTGGCAAACTCTCTGACTATATGAAATATTTCAAACAAATTTGATTACGACGAAAATGATTCTTGTGAGTTAATTTTAAAAGACAGACATACACTCACATTTTCAGATTTAAATAACCATTCATTTATAGTTCTTGGTAATTTAGAACCGTTTTCGCAGCGTACGTAACATAAACTCTTAAAGATGAATAATGTTTCCGTTGTTCCACATTTCCTTCTGTTAAGCACTTTATAACCTTCTTCGATAAATGCTCGAACCAACACAAAAACCAATTTTCCAATTTGAATCCGTAGTTCCGGAGATAAGCGCGTTCAAACAAAGAAACACATCTGCGATGATAATGTAAGTACAGATAGGGAAGAATATTATAATACCAACAATGGAAAACAGTACAAAGGTGGTCTTTTTTGTATTTTCTTAAATCAATAATTCTTTCTAATGTTAAAATCTATATTAGATTGAAAACAAAATCGATGACTTTGCAACATCCATGGCGTTTCGTGCAGTTGCAACTGTTGCTTACCAACTGATATACCTACTATGTAGGTATATCGATGGTCGATGGTAGAAAGAACAACAGCACAAAACGCTCGAATCCCTACAGTGTCATCGATATTTTTTTTTAATTCAAAGTTTTTAATAACAAACGTTTTTTGAGATATCATTTCTGATTCTACTATTTTTATGTAGTAATTAATCCTTTTTTATTTGCATTGTTATGTATTAATATTATGTATTTAGTATAGTTTTCTTAAAATGCTTCTATTATTTTTATTTTTATTTATCTTATCATCATTTAGGTATAAGTTATATAGCAAGAAAGACCGCCCTAACACTACGGCCGATCCAAATATTATCCAAAGACAACGAAGGCAGATACACGCTGACTTTCAAATCCAGACTGGTGAACACCGCTGTTACTTTCACTCCTGGACAAGAGTTCGACGAGATCAAACCTGATGGCGTTAAGGTAGGATACAATATGATCTTATTCTTGTTTGTCTGTTTGCGTCAAATGCTCATTCACAAAGACCACATATAGCAATGGAGATAGATGTTTGCAATTAGTCTAATTCTATCGTCATTGTTATATAACATAATAGATAATATCGATCGATTCAGTTTAAATATAGTGATATGAACGGCAATAATGCAATATTGAGAATTAGAAAAGAAAAAAAATACATTTATATACAACAACCAAATTTACAAATCAAATTTTACAATAATAATAATAAGGAGGATTACAAATATAATGTTATAAAGCTAAATACGGATAAAGAACATTTTATAACACATTCTGTAGGTAGCTGTGTTACTGGAGTTACTTTGTTTGTTACTAGCTGTGTCAGCGACTCCGTCTGCTAAGAATATTTATTTTGGCATCCAAATTCGTTTTTGATCATTTAAAGAGAAATAATTTTTGCGTACATATTTTCCCGCTCTAACTAACCCAAAATGAATTTTTCAATTCGAACTCGTAGTTCTTGAGATTAGCGCGTTCAAACAAACAAACTCTTTGGCTTTATATATTTGTGTGAAGTCCTAAGAGCAACAGAAGTTGGGATGATCAGTGCAACTGATAAATAAGATTTGATTATTTTTAGCAAATATTTTTACGAGAAATGATGATTTATGGTATCTTCCAGGTCAGAGCATCAATAGCATTCGAAGGAAACAAATTGATTCACATCCAGACAGAAGCGAACGGCAGAACGGCTAAGCACATAAGAGAGTTTTTCCAAGACAAAATGATAATGGTAATGTCTCTATCTCAAACAATTTATCATCATAAATATTCTTTTGAAGTGACTTATGTTCGATTTCCGAAGACAAATTATAAATTGGTTTCGGGTCTTACGCGCCATAGATCATCGCTTACTTTTGCCCAAATGTATTTAATTACATTCTAATAAGTTTCAATTATTTTTAGACAACAACAGCGAATGGCTTTAATAAAACGGCGGTGAGAAACTTTGAACTAGTGCAGTCGTGAACCAAGAATCCAGGAGCGTACGAGATTATAAGTTGAAGGCACTGTATCCTATGCCAAAGACAAATTGTAGCTTTAAATAAATTAAGCTTTAGAATATGTAAAAATACAAGAATTTACTAAAAATATAATATCCTATTTACTATTAAAAAACAACTAGCTGTGCCCGCGATTTCGTCCGCGTGGAATATAATTGGACTTGGGATATAATTTTTAATTATTCAGGCTGTTTATTAATATATGTAAGGGCGCATTTAAGGCAGCCAATGTATGTTATAAGTGCTACTTTGCCGCAACACCTCACAGCACTCCTACTCTAACTCCCACTCGCATTCCTACACACACTCCCACACCCACTTCTATTCCCAAAAAGCCAAAGAAGAAAGTTTCATTGTTCTAGCTTCGAAAACCACGTATTTTCATACAAACTGTCATCCCCCTTTTCAACCCCTACCAAGCCTTACTTGGCATTAAAAATGCCTATGTCTTCCTCAGGCTCTAAAATATCTGTGTGCCAAATTTCACTATAGATTATTATGAGTCGTTTAAAGCACAGTAAGAATTGTTCACTCAATAAGGTCATATTATATGTACTAGGTACTAAAATTATCCACTTTTCAATCGATAAACTTGAATAAATAAGTTGACTCTCGCATATTATTCCTTTTTCTATTTAATTTCTATATTATATTCACGGAACCCATCAGTCTACAATGTTTTAAATACAGTTGCATAGATTTGATTTCTGTGTCTACTAGTAATTAAATAAATTCACGAATTCGTTAGAATTTCGAAGCGTATTAACGGCGTGTAAAGACATAGGCACCGTAAATATGGTTTATCGGCTATAAGTTTGACTATTGTAGAATGAATTCCAGCCTGGACTCGTTAATCCCCCGGATAAGGAGAGACATCAAAGCCGCGGATTTAATTACGCCTCGAATTCGAGGAGACTATTAACCGCCATCAAGTGAACGTCGGAATAATCGAATCTGCGAAGTAATCCCCATATCGACTTTCGCTAACAAGCGAACATTCTCTCCGGGCCACTTTCCAAAACACGATTCCCTATTCCATTAGACCTCTCGAAGTTATCTCGCGTTATTTACATCGCCTGACCGTACCGTCTTATGTAGTGGGGTGCACGGACCCTTATATGTGGGGTGGTATATAAGTGAGCAACGGTAGGCCGTGTGTACTTGTTTATAAGGGTGGTTTTGTCGGGTTAGACTCCCATGGGGGTGGGGGGGTGGTGTCGCGGTGTCGTCGCCATGGCAACGCGGCGCCCGGACGCCGGATCGCGACGCCCGCAGTGTCAGCCGGCTCCCCCCGCTCCCCGCCAAGTGACACGCGCTGCGAAAAAGCACAACCGCCCTACCTTTGGGGGCGACATCTTTCTCGCTTTTCAGGGACAGTTTTTTTATATAATAATATAACGGAGGAAAGACGAGCATGGATTTACTTGATGGTAATTGAAAAGGCCCAGCCAAATAAAATACTGTCTAGGTAATGGCTACAGACTTATCGTCACACGCTGACAAATGCGTTCCTTATCGATATATATACTTTCTTTTGTATAACACTTTAAATTTAAATAATTTTCACCTCCACGGAAGATATTTATTACGCAATAAAACTAATTAGCCCAATTTTACTTAAGTGTCAGTCCTAATCAATAAAAAAAATGTATTACTTTCATATATGATATGGCCTGTATTAAAAAGTATTTTAGGAATGTAATAAATTTTGTATTAAGACAGAAAAAAAATTACAACACAGGCGGGGCTTGAACCGGCATCCACAACAATCCGTGCTTTGCTCTAACCAATTGAGTTGATTAAAATTGGTTAGAGCAACGGGTCAAGCCCCGCCAGGGTCATCAATGTTCAAACTAAAATCAAATTTTAATTTATATAATTCCAACATGTGGAATTTTTCATAGGCCTCTCTCGAATACACGACCACGCACCGAGCTATGGATCTAATAATTTTGATATGTAATTTGTGTCACTGCGAAAATGGGTTTTATATTTGCATTGACAAACGTGTATGTAAAAACGAATTTTTAATAGACGATAGATTTTATCCCCCACATAGCGAAAATGTGTGGTCACAGCATTCACCCACCCTAAGTCAGGTCGAGGCAGCCCGGGGGGGTGGGCTAGCACCTTTTGTTTAGGACCCCTCCCTTTCATTTACTCGCAGCGCTCTCAATGTTGTTTGTAAAAGGTTTAGGTGCCTAAATGTGAAGGGAAATGTCACGATTTCACTTTTTAAGCGCCCTTTGTTGAAAAATATTGCAGAGCCCGGGGGTTATTCTCATTGGGACGATATATTGTGAGGCTAAAAGCATTTTTGAGAACATGCCATACCGCAATCCGTAAACGGGGAATCTATAAAATCATTCGTAGTAATGCACGAAGCCAGAATAAGGTCTTGATGCTGTTAAATTATTATTTTCAAATGTTACCTTACTCAAAATATTACAAGCTTTTATTGTGATAAATAAGCTATATGTTCTGATTTTATTTAAGGTTAAACATTAAACCGACTAAATCTGTTATAAATTCAATATTAAGGAGTTATTATATTCAGATTTAAATTAAACGAAAGTGAAGAATGAATAACTCCAATGCAATAATAATACACGGCGAACACCGGCCTCGATACAACTTTTTCGAGCGAGAAATGTAATTTGAGAAGTTTTTTTCGAGTAACACAAGGAGTTGCGAAGTTGTCTTAAGGCGGGTTCGCAAAGTTGACGCGGACTTGTTCGCTGTTTTCGAGATTACGCAATAGTTTCCATTTGTTGCCAGCAATTGTAATTTTCTAAGTTCATTTCAAAAATAAACAATTTTTTTATGATATTTTCTCTTGATGGTAGGTGAAATACCAAAATCATATAACATCAAAATAAGATACGCTGTCAGCCTATTTAAACTTTGAATATTCGAAAACCCACAGACTGAAACCGAAATGCGATTAAACGACACGGCTTTCACATCTGTGGATTGTGGTTCGTGACCTGGAGTTGAGATATTCCTATCACTCATGTAATATACAGATTTCCAGACGAAGTAAGATCAGATATATCTTAGAAAATTTTATAATTCGAACCAACGAACTTTTGTTACATTGCTACCATTACAACAATGATTTGGATGGAGTTCGATAGGAAATTACTATATTTCGAAACATTTTATTATATGTGTCTGAGTGTCCACACTATTAGCATAGTCTAAATAGATATAAAAAATAGATAATAAATACTATCCGATTGCTATATAATTTATATTGATGGAGTTGCATCTTGCATTTATTTGCAGGACAAATTTGTAGGTATTATTATTAATATTTTTGAAAAAAAATAATATCTAAACTAATATATAAAGCTGCAGATTTTGTTTGTCTGTTTGAACTCGCTAATCTCAGGAACTAGTGTTTCGAATTGAAAAATTATTATTGTGTTAGGTACCTAGACCATTTATCGAGGCTATAACATCGCGTTGTGACTAATAGGAGCGAAGAATCAGCGGGTAATGTGGAAAAAACGGGGAAAACTACTCACATCATCATACATACATCATTATGGGTTTCCGAGGCGTACGCTACAAGAAAGTTTCACGATACACAAAAAATGTGTACGAAAGAACGATTCCTCCTTAAATTAACTCTTTTAAAACCGTAACGTTATATGTCTTTAAGTTGCTATCTTTTAAGATTAACTTGCAAGAACGATGGTACGCGAGCGACGTCGTGGATCGTAGGCAAAGTTGATGTTCAAAATAAGTATTCTACGCGGACGAAGTCGCTGACACAACTAGTATTATTATATAACTGAAATAACTAATTATGTCTTATAAGATACTTGCATAAGTTTTTATAACGCATACTTTTATAGCTGACATCCTTCGCAATATCCTAAGCGCCCATAAGAACTCTCGTTAAGCCCTCTTCAAACAGGCAACGCGACGTTCACCTACATATGGAAAAGGCGAAAAAAAAAATGTCTGTCTCCTCGGATCGATCGTGTCGTGCGGCTGGTGTGAGGCCACGCCCACATTTCACGCGAGAGGTGTTGATTGGTCGGACGATGATACGCACACAACAAAACTTCGACGTACACTTGAGCCGGCTTTCCACCGGGTGAAAACACGCGACTTGACAAAGGCCGCCGATTCTCTAAATGCGTAGGAAATTTTCTTGCCTCCACGTTTTCCTATCCCATTGGAGCAGTAATATGTTTTTCGAAGGTAGTCAAATGTATGTTTTATTATGTTAGTAGCTTATGCATTATGCTTAACAGTGTGAAATGTGTAATTTTGCATTTTCTGTACAAAGGCCATGGGTAATACACATATCTGTGTCTATTTTACTGATATTTATATTAATATTAGAACGCTTTGATATGTATCTTTTTTATATTAAAAAAAATATTGGACGAACACCGCCGCCGCCGGGTTTGAACCGGCATCTACAGTGTTCCATGTTGATGCTATCCTTTGGTAAGAGCATAAATATTAAATTGTGTAAGGCTTTCACGGCCATCGTTCAGCATACCATTGCTTTTCGGGCTGTTCGGCCGACGTGAGCGTGAAGAGGTGTTTTTAATTTACGAAAAATTAAATAAGTAGACTGTCGTTTACATTATCATTGACATAATATGATAATTATAACGTTAATTATAGAATTAGCATAGCATTTAATGCTAGACTAGGCATTTAACTATTAAGCACGAACAATAGAGGCAATTTCTGCTCCTATAGGCGCATAATAATAATTATTCTATAAGTATACCTACACAAAAGCTTATTAAAATATGTCGTTTAAATAAAACACTTAAAGGTTTAAACACGTAATATTTTAGTTATACTTATAATTACAAATTACAATTTTTAGTGATAATCACTTCCCAATCCTTAATTGTGTGTGAAATCCCGTTTCCCCCTCATGGGGCATGGGGCGAACACATTTCTGTGTCTGTTTCACTGATCCGTTCTTTAACAGGCGAGTAGTCGATCAGACTTCTGTGCCTTGCCCGACCGAAACAATTTTTGTTTCCCTGGGATTCGACCCCAGGACCTCTCGCACTTAACGCAATCCTAGGAAATAATATAGGCCGTTTAACCATTTGTCTACAGAGGCGGGTAAATTAAAAAATAAATAAATAATAATTCTTAACGTTAATCAATACTTGTGTAGGTTTTAAAAGGAATTCTTATACTATTAAATTATAAAATGATACAAAAAGTATTGAGATACGATTGCCGTAAAATGTAGGATTACCGTATGTAACGCGTTCACAACAAACGAGCAATCTCATCAAATGTCAGCTACACATAAATTATAACGTAGGTAGCCCACCTTTCATAACACGAACGGGGGCACAATGAGTATCTGCACTTGAAATCTAATTCCGATTTCAGACAATGGAGCAGATGCGCGGACGCCGCTTACAAAGGGCATTCGTACATCGGTAGTACATCTAATTTCACGCGGCGCGCCCCGTTGCATAATGCCCGATGTTCGTTTGTTCGCGCTCTAACAGACAGTTCTCGTAATTTGAATATGGAGAGGCATCGGTGCGCGATGGGGCTGCGCCGGCGCAGATATAAATCGATACTTTACGAATGTTTAATTTTTTGGAAAGGTTTTTGTACGGCTTGTGAAATGTGTCGGCAATTATTTGTTAATAAATAGAGTTTAGAGAATTTGAGGTTGATTATAAGTTGTGATGATAAATAGAAAATTCTTGATCGTTGATGGTGTTTCCTACTTTACGTACAATATTTTCACAAATTCACGTCTTAGATCATCCAACGGAATTCATTTCTAAGCACCGAATAACTTCGAAAATGATAACTGGTGACAGAAAAGGGATTTTCATACATTTAAATACATCGTACCTACAACTACTCACCATAGGCGAATTTCGAGAAAAAATTTTCCGCGTTGTCAATTTCACTTTTCTTCGGACTCGCAATGAACTCCGTGACACCTTCGAATTTACCAAGCACTGGAAAATCGGAAAAGTAGTCCTGGGCTTGCTTCTCGCTTTGCCGATCTGAAAGTTAAATATGTTTAAGTTCATATACACTATGTTTGCACTAGTCTCTGAAATAGATCAGAATTTACTTAGCTGATGAATCTACTTTACTTATCATAGTATAGAGTACTTTCCACGAATATAGATTTATATGTTGAAGCTCGTAGCGCTAAAGTATATGACTTATGTCATAATAGAGACACGTAGATATAGTAATTAAATAGGCATAAAAATAAGGTTATTTTTTGCACCTTTTTTTGTTTTTGATTCTCGGTATAGTTTTAACACTGTGCAGAAAACTATTTCATACATTTATAAAAATATAGAATAAATGGATTTTTTTAATAAAGTTGTGTTGAAATGTGTAAGTTTTTTGGATTTGTTGTTTCATTTGTCTGTAACTAAAATACTTATTAAGTACAATTTTCTATTTAAAAAATATATCATCTGTTTATACTGATTGATAATTTTTCTAGATACTACATACTGAGTTAGTAAAATATACGTCACGAACTAAGTATTGTCTAGTTTACGCGAATATCAAAAATTAAATAAAGCACTTGCCGCAAAGCAACCAAAAAGTCGAGTCGTAGTTTAAAATAAGGAAACCAATATAAGTAATTCGCATTTTAAACCGCATACAGGTGTTTTAGTTCCAATTAATATTTTGCTTCGAGATATCAAAATAATTTTCAGATGTTAATATTTAATTCAAAATCGATCTTAGATGCACGAGCAATACTTGAACCGATATCATCAGCGTGCCGATCTGTTGGTCTATATAGCAACCAATGTTAATATAAATAAATACAGTGTAAACTCCATGTAACGTCACTCTATTTAACGACAAACTCTCTTAAGCGTCGAAATTAATTGGCTTTGGTTGGTTTAGCTTGTTTTTCATACAATGTTTCTTCTCTCCATTTAACGACAACTCTCTATAACGCCATAAAATGCACAGTCCCTTCAGTGTCGCTATATAGAGTTTACACTGTATATAGACAATGATGAATACTAACAGAATACTATGTTTAATTACGCAGAAGGTACGTCTTCAATTGTACAGCCCATATTTTCACCCTAAGAATCTAAGATGAGTTTCAAAAAGGACAAAATGAGTCCATAATACAAATGACTATCAAAAACCTCCTATCGCAAGAAAAACCTGCAAAATCCGAGCAATTTCTACTCTCCGCAGACTATACTTACATATTTATTGATTTATTGCAAACCCGAGGTTGTGTTTTATAAAGTCAAGTAGTGACGTAGCGCAGCGTTTTAGGTCTTCTGTCCTGCGGTGCAGGGTTCAAACTTCGATAATCCGGGATCAGAGTATAAGATTTTTCGGTTCGGCGGTTGAGTGTAAAAATGCCGTCTTATAGGCACGCCGCCCCTCTCCGGCGACATTTTTACAAGAGGGAGGAGGGCGCCCACCCGCGGACTTTCGTCACTAAGGCTCGGGAACCGGTAAAGAACAACTGACCGGTTTTTGTTTTAACCGGTTTTACACAATAAATAATATGTAGGGAATTCGCTGCGCGCAAGCTTCACGATCTTTTGCCCATAAGTTGTTAATCTGACGTTACCAGATTAGGAATTTCACTTAAGCTCATACGAATAATAGAAATAACGTAAAGACTTCTTGTACCATAGCAATGATTACGGTTTAAAACCGGCGTTGCTCAAACGGTTCGGTTCGTCATTTCGTTGTCATTCGGAGGTCCCTTTTTGCGCGTTCGCGGCGCGAGCGTCGGCGTCACAATACCGTTCAGTATTTTTATTCTTTCGAGAAGAAAATAACGAAAAAAAAAATACGCAGAAAAATCATGAACAATGCCCGCCCTTGGGCGAGATTACCGCCATCAGAAAATGAATGCTTTGTTAGATTCAGCGGGATGTTTTTCAGTTGTTACATTAGACTTGTCATCTCCATTAGAGGGCTTAACAAGTTACCGAATGAGCCTGTAGCTTTATTTACGTTTCAATCATGGAAAGTGCCCGCCGGAACCAGATGCCGGTTTGTGTATCTTTGATTAATATACACAGTACCATACGATTACTATTGTCGCCGATACTATTCTAACCAGAATCAGGCCTTTAGTTGTAATGAAACGTTACTAACAGCTTGACATAATTGTATTTTTATTTGTAAAGGTTTGTCTTAAGCTTGGCTTCCGGCAATGTCAAAATTAACTTAGGTAAATACGGAAATGATATTTAAGGGAAGCGCTAAAAATTTAAAGAAATATCAATTAAAACAATAATATAACATCGGTGTCAACTGATGTATCGAACTGTAATGTCAAACTATGCCTAGTACAATTATTAAATTATTTTTGTCTTGAACTGACAATCTTAATTATTTTGGATTAATTTATGTATATGATAAGGTTTACTAACTTAAACATGTTCATGTGTTAAACAACTTAAATAATAAGGACAATTGTTATGTATATAACGAATAAGTATATAGAGAGATAAACGATATTTAGTCAATATATTTATTTAGCGCTCATACAAAATAAATGTGGGTTATACGTAAAATTTAAATACGTGAAAAAGTTAGTCTAACGTCTATGAGGCTGCGCCGATGTTGTGTCTATGAAATATATTTAATTAATCTTTAACATCTGTTGCTTTACGTTTAAATTCGTCTTAGCACACGACCTAATATATTTTACTAGCTGTGCCCGCTAATTCTCCCGCGTGGAATATTTATTTTGGGCATGATTTATTTTTGCGAACAGCTTTCTCAGCTTACACGAGAGACATTTACTGTCATCGTGTGATCATTTAAAGAAGAACCATTCTATCATATATTTTTTAGTTTCTTGAACCGTTTTCTTCCCTTCTACTTAATTTGAATTAGTAGATTCTGAGATTAGACAATTTAAACAAACTCTTTAGGTTTGTTATAGCCTACAGTTCCGGGCAAGAAAAATGTATCTACCTAGGTAGCTGTCACTATATAGGTAAGCTAGCCACTTAGATAGTGACACGGCAGAAGACGTTATGTAACGCCATTCTCATGCAGATTCAGTTCCTGCCGTATAGATTTTTCAACATTCAATTTATTTCAATAAAAATCTTGTAATATTCTACGAATATAAAATAAGGATAGCCTTTAGTCTTACAAAGTCACGAAAATGTGGGATATATTGGAACGATATATGAAAGCGGCGACTTAAAGGCAGTTAACGGCAGAAGGTAGAATAATGAAAGACCGCGGTGGATGTAACATGATGCGCTTACAAATCGGTCGAGGGCAAAGCTTTGGCCGCGCCGCGCTTCGGTACCAATCATATCACTTCTGACAAGACAAAGCTGAGGTGTGCCAGGCGAGGAACGGGTTGGAGGGTTGCCAGTTATATAGAATTAAATTTATTTATAATTTCATTTTGATGGGCTAGTTGCTACGGTACTTATCTATGGCTTCTGCTAGATTATTTTCTATTAAATCTAGTATTTTTAAGATCAATATAAAAAAAATTATACTGGCTGTGCCAGCGACTTCGTCCGCGAGAATCATTATTTTGGGCATCCAAATAAGGTTTTTTTATCTTTATAAACTTAAGTTGTTAGCCACAACATCGTTTGCGTACCGTTTCCGTCGTTTTTGCAAGTTAAGTTAACAGAACACAAAAAAGATTTTTTTATTTCGAACCCGTACTTCCTGAGATTAGCACGTTCAAACAAACAAACAAACTTTCATATATTAAAATTAATATAGATTCGTCTGAAAAATTGGGTCGCAGGAATGTCGAAATACCGACCGAGTAACAAACTCCGTCCACAGAAGGGAAGTAAAGTGTAATTACGTTTCGTGGACTGCCGAATGTCTTTGCCCCATAGGTACCCCAAGACTTAGGTAGCAGAATTTCACATAAAAATATTAGTAATAGAATTATCAACGTTGTGTCAAAATTTAAGCCGGTCTTAGCTATCTGGGATTAAAAGAAATCAAAGAAATGAGAGACATTAATAACTTATTTTTAATTTAATTCTTCGAGCAATCGAGGAGTTAACATCTCCTGATGATGCCGTCCACACGTGATGGCGAAACGTCGAGAACCTCTTCTCGCTCACGGCCGAACAGTCCGAGAGACAATGATATGCTGAACGATGGCCGTGAAAGCCTTACACAATTTATTTTTAATCTACTTTAACTACGGCCAAAGGTTTCAGATACTTTGCAGCAGCCGTGGCACGGGCGGACTGAAGACGGTGAGTGTTTTAAACCGTTAAAGTTTTATATTTAATGTTTTGCAAATATACAGACAATACTTGAAAACATATCGATTTAGGGCAATATAGGCTATAGTTGTTTGCAATGTCGTCATTAATTGTAGGTACAAGACCTTTGCAACAAACTTAATTCACCTGAAATGATGAATACTGCAAAAAAGTTAAAAGCTCAGTCGCGGTTAGTTTCCAAACTAAACGACAGACTAGACTATTTAAAACCGTCTGCATAACACAAAACCGTGACAAAAGAGCATCGGGCTTCCGAAACGCCACTAAAAAACGCTTCGAGCGTCGCGCGACACTAGAATTTAAAATTTCCGAAAGGTAGCGGTGCATTTTAATAATCCCAGTAATGAAATGCAGAGTTACGCCGCGATGTCACTCGCTAACCCCATCAGATAAAGGGTTGTGTCACCCGAATGGAGGTCCCGATCGCATCGCTTTCCGATAACGTTTATTAAGCACGGAAATTAGAGATTCGTATTAAAAAACGCGGGTCGCGTGTAGCAGAAACGGCGTAATGGCTCGTAAATCTTTTTTATTCCAATCGCGATTCCGATGGAAGTGCGTGAACGTTTTCGGTTATATTTGAGCGACTTTTCAATATATTTATTGCGTGCTGGCGCCAGCGACTAGTAATAAGCACAGCTACTAACCCAAAAATAAAACTATTTAAGTATGTATTTCTCAATATTAGGTAGTTCTCAAACTTGCTCAATATGCAACCTATTTATTTCTAAGAATCTTGCTTTATATTTGAGCCATGATTAGAT